AGGCAGGCAGATCTCTGAGTTCCAGGCCAGCCTGGTCTACATAGTGAGTTCTAGGCCAGCTGTGGCTATGGTGAAGAGCACTGACTGCTCTTGTAGAGGACCTGAGTTCAAATCCCAGCACCCACATGGAGACTAATAACCATCTGTAACTCCAGTTCCAGGGGATCCAACACCCTCTTCTGACTTCTGTGGGCACTGCACAACACAGGAGCACTTACATACATGCAGGCAATACACGCATACGCATAAAATACAAATAAAATTATATATATATACACACTTGAAAGACTACTAGAATACATGTGATATGAAAGAAGAGGGAGCACTGGAGCGTGGAGGACTAAGGGGTAGGGTGGGGGATGGGGGAGGTGCAGGCTAACTAAAAGGATGTATGTAGAAGCCCTAAGGAAACTTACTAGGTAGTAAGCTAATTTCAGAATACACATTTAAAACAAAGCGTTTAGAGGGAATTACTGTATATGGGTGAACGACACTGCTCCCATTGCAAGGCATGGGAGGCCTTTCCACAAGTTCAGAGGCCCTAGGCGTCACCATTGCCTTTGGTTACCCACCACGACTACATGGTGAGACCCTATTGCCAAAGGCACCGCACACTGGCTGCAGCAGCACATGGGGAAGTCAATCAAGTCCTGGAACTTCCTCCCTGGATGGCTAGCTGGGGGAGGAAAGATACTAGTGATTGTCCTCAGCACTAGACCCTACATGCTGCAATCCTGAGCTGCTAGGGAAGATGTACCCACTGGTACAGCAGTGGCATGAGGTTCATGGAGTGACTGCTTTTTGATCGGCTCTGAGGCCTACTTCATAGGAGGGAACTTGATGCTTGGTACTGTAATCCTGGTCAAACACCCATGGCTGGGGAGGTCATAGGCCCCAGGCTAGAACTTGCTATTGTTATTTGTTAAATGATTATGCTGTCAAATTGCTGTCTAAATATGTTCGTTTACACCCATAGACCTGGGTTGCTCTCAGCCTTGGTCAGAGAAGCTTATTTTTGCCGTGTGCAGCAGTCAATGGAGGGATGCCAGAGCTGGGAAAGTGCTGAGAATCAGAGACTGCTCAGCCCTGACTGGGACAGTGGGACCCCGATACCAGCGCCCTCCAAAGATCAGGAAACAGCAGAAGGGGAGGAGGCAGAAAGAATCCGGAGGAGCGCTGTGAAATGCAGCCCTCTGGACTGGACTCGGCTACTGTACTCAAACTCAGCAGCTGTGGTTACCCGCGCAAGACCAAGCCACCAAACCCTGGTATAGTAGATGAGCACCCCTTACTGAGGGGCTCTTTGTAGTTACTATTGGGAGAGAATCACTCTTGAGGCTATGGCCACTGGTGGGATTCCCATGCTCCAGCGGATGGCCCCCTAGCTCAGGGCCCCCTAGCTCATGCATACACAGGCAGCACTAACTGAACCTTGTGGATTATTAGAAAAAAAGAAAGATGGGGCTGGAGAGATGGCTCAGTGGTTAAGAGCACTGGCTGCTCCTGCAGAGGACGCAGGTTCGAATCCCAGCACCCACACTGCGGCTAACAACTGTCCATAACTCCAGTTTCAGGGCCTCCAATGCCCTCTTCTCACCTCTGTGGGCACTGCATGACACAGGTGTACTTACATACATGCAGACAATACACTCATACAGATAAAAATAGCCAGGTGTGGTGGCACACGCCTTTAATCCCAGCACTTGGGAGGCAGAGGCAGGCCGATCTCTGTGAGTTCAAGGCCAGCCTGGTCTACATAGTGAGTTCCAGGACAGCTGGGGCTACAGGGAGACCCTGTCTCAAAAAGACCAAAAATAAATATTTTTTAACAAAGACAAGACCTGAAGTTGGGAGAGGGGCATGGGGGAGATGGAGGAAGTTGGTTGAGAACAGGGATATATATGATCATATTTCATTCTATCTATCTATCTGAAATTCTCAAAAATAAACGTTAAAAGAAACTAAAATGACGCCATTCTGTACATGTGGTAGAATTCTGTACCATCCTGCCCCACACCTCAGGATGTAGATCTGCCCTTTGTCCGTGTGCTCACTCTGATATCTGTCTGTAAGCACTTAATAGCCATCTCAGTTATTGAGGGAAATGTCTCCTAGACTAGCCTGGGGCTCAAGAAATCCACCCGCCTCTGCCTCCCAAGTGCTGGGATTAGCGGTGTGCACCACCACACCTTCCGCTTCCTAACAGTGCTGCTCTGTTCATGCCTTTGAAAATTTTTTTTGCCCATCCATTCACCAGTCTCATCTTCCACACAGTTCTGCGCTGCACTGAACAGTCTTCCCACCCCATCCAGGACACTGAACAAACCTTGCGGCTTTCTGTGACCCACTGCCTGGACTCAGCTGAAGCCTCTGCAGTGCCTCTCCAGAGCCTCCGCCACGATGGCCTCCCCTCCTCTACCCATCACCCCCTGGACGCCATGTTGGTCTCTCTTCAGTATTAAGGCCTGGAAAATGCCTTCAGGTAAACTGGCCTTCAAGGGCACTCCTGGTTTCCTACCTCCTTCCTCTCAGGAAGTCATGTGTGGCCGATTTCCAATGTCTGGAGACAATGTGGCAAGAGGTTTCTGCAGGTTGGTCCCTCCAAGTGCCTTTGTTGAGTGTGTCAAAGTGTCCATTACTAGGTGGCCAAGTTTCTCTCTCATCCCTGAACCGACACCACAGTGCTATGGAAAGCGATTGGAACAATGCTAGTCCAGGAATGTAAAGAATCTGAAGGTTTTAAAAAATATTGTTATTTTACGTGTATGAATGTATTGCCTGCATGTAAGTGCACCCAAGACATGCAATGCCCATGCCAGTCAGAAGAGGGCGTTGGATTCCCTGGAACTGGAGTTATGGACGATTGTTAAGCTGCCATGTGGGCGCTGGGAATCAAACCCATGTCCTCTGCAAGAGCAGTCAGTGCTCTTAACCACTGAGCCACCTTTCCAGCCCCAAGTACCTAAGATTTTGTCAGCTGACAGTCTAATGATTGAAGCTTTATGTTTAAACAGTGAGGCGCAGGGCATGGCTTGTGCTTGCTTCTCCCCATCACAAACACATCACTGGATATGCTGTCAGTCTCTGTGGTGTCAACTCCTGAGGCTGAGGCAGGAGAATCACATGAACCAAGGAGCTTAGAGCAGCCCAAGCAAGAGAAATACGACGCCTCAGAACAAACGACAAGCCCTACAGAATGTGGTGGCAGAGATGCTGTGGTGGACGCAGCTGCTATTATCTTCATTGCCTTAATATTCTTCCTGTTGAATGGGTAAAAACAAAACTCCAAAAATCCTTTTAGCAAACAAATGTTCTGTCACCTTGTGTGGTCAGGACCTTGTGCGGTCAGGACCCTGTGTGGTCAGGACCTTGTGCGGTCAGGACCCTGTGTGGTCAGGTGCTGCTGAGGAACTCAGCCACAGGATCTGGAGTGTAGCACATGCCCACCTGGAGGACCCCTATGAGGCCTTACAGAGCAGGTGTCTTCAGAAGCTATTTACCCCCTAAGACCCTCTGAACCAATGCTCACGTTGCATTTCCCACAGCTCCATGAAAGCGTGTCACTTCCTCAAGCTGTTGCTGGCTGTAGAGGTGTGGACGACGTGGATGCCTATCCTCTAGAATACAAGTCCTAACAAATACCTGGTCAGCAAATACAAACAAAAACCAAGATGCATTTCCTATCAGAAAAAGTGGTTAATGGTTTCCATTTCACTAACTTTTGACCTGTCTTCAATGGTATGAGTATATAAGGCTCAAGGAAACTTATCTCAGTTAATGCTTCTTTCCCAGTGGTTACTGAACTTCAAGTTGTACCATGTAAAGGAGGAAGTCAAACACGAGGCTCCCCTGGGGCCTGCCCACATGCCCGGGTGGGAAGTCTTCAGCCTCCCTGGGCCAGTCCATCCCTTGGGACTTGGCTCCTGGTCTGTAAGTGGAATGAGCAGTCCTGGCTGAGCTGCTGGCATCCCGGCAGCCTCTAGGCCAGGGACAGGGCTGCCCTCAAGATTCCATCACCACCAACTCTCCACTTCCTGCCCACTGGGTCCTGAGCCCTTCCATCCTCTTTTGTTTCCTGGGACTGTCAAGTGATGCCCCCTTGATGACAGAGCCAAAGAAATGGGAAGAAGCTCATTCCTGGCAAGCCCATGGGACTGGCATGTGGCACAGCAGTGTGCATGGTGGGCAGACTGCTGTGGCCACTGTGGACTGGTGAGCACTCAAAAGCTGGGGGCTTGGGTCAGTGTCTCTGGTCCCATCATGGTGCTCTCTGCTAGGACACCCAGATTTCTCATCAGCACTATTGTTCCCATACTTGCTGCTGAAGCCACAGCTGGAGACTCTGGATGCCTCCTGGCAGCTGACTTGGCCCCAGTGGAAGAAGCAGAGGCCCAGAAAGGCATATCAGGCGTCTCCAGTCTCCTCTACCACAAGATAGTACCAATGTCTGGGACAGAAGCAGTAGCTGCCCTCTCATAAGCACTGCTCCTGCAGCCAGGCCCGGCCTATTTCTCAGTAGAGCCATCCCATCAACACAGATGTGCTGGTTCCTCTAACTTAGAAAACAACAAAATACGGCAGCCTGTTCCACACCTCTGCTGGCTACGGATTCACTTCCTGTTCCCTGGTACAAAAATCTCCAGAAGGCTAGGACCTGTTGTCCCCTCCCTCCCACAAGACCTGCTGTCCCCACTTCTCACAACCGATTTCCACGGGGTTCTTGCCAAGGCACCTGGTAAGGAACTTCACAGCAGCCAGTCCCAGGCTGCAGCTTCTCCCAAAGTGGACTGCCAGATGCCTTCACATCGGAAAGTGAGTCATGCAGTCAACTTCCAGGTAAGTGGAAACTGCACCGTAACCAGGAGGCGGCTGTGAGTTTTCTGCGAAGCGCCCAAAGGTACTCAGAAAGGACTAATCAAACGCAGACTTCCTTTTTTCTTTTTAAATACTATTCACTGTCCCTAATTTATACTCAGGTAAGCACTCACAATAGTCTTATGATGGATCACAACCCTTCCCTACAAGACTAGAGGTGACCCTCTGCTCAGTGCTGCAGACTCAGTCCTCACCCCATGTCCCAGTGACCAGGGTGAAACCCACCACCCCATCTTGCAGCTCTTGGCATGTGCATGTGAAACTCCCAATTGTATGATTGGCTGCCATGTCCTGCCAAGTGCTGTCATGATACCTGTGCCAGCCGGGCATCCAGAGACAACGGAGGCAACAGGAACCCTAAGTGGAGCCCTGGGACTACCACGGAGTAACTGCAGGGACGGTGGCCCCGGCTCCCTGAAAACAGACATCACCCATTTGTCACCCCTGCCCCCCGCCCGTCCTCCCCAGCAGAAAGCAACCAGACTGGGTCTCCTGCTGTACTAATGTATTCCATCTTTCAAAAAGAAAGACATGATTTTAATATTACTTAACAATATGTTAAAAAAGTAGCCAGGCAGGCCTCCGTGTTAATACGGTTGTACGCTCTAGAACAGACTTGATGGTGTGAGTACTGGGTGGGTTTCTTGTTTTTAACGTTCTCATTCTGCAAGGGGTCTTACACAAGCTGGCTACAAGTCAAGGGGTCAAACACAAACAGCGCAACGTGTACACTCAGAAACAGTAGATCGTGGAGGACGAAGGAGGCCTGCCCGCCCAGCCCGCCTTGGGTGGGACACAGGGCACACGGGAGCGGAGGGATGGCTGACACCCCGGCAGGGACAGATGACAGGACAGGGTGAGATGCAGAGGCAACAGAGCCACGTGGATGATGCAAACTCTTCTCTGGCCATGGCCCAGGCCTCTGAGGCCATGGTGGTGGAGGAATTGGTGGGAACTACTGTTCCATGTTCCATTCCGACAGCACAGGGCTACAATCGAAGAAGTCTCACTCACAGACTACACGCACACGAGCTAACAATGCAGGTCGAGCAGCAAGTTCTCGGTCTGGGGGTCTGAGGCCACGGCATCCCGCCCCACACGCCCTGGGTGGGCACCGCAGCTCTGGGGGGACCAGTGAGGGGCTTGGCTCTTGGGGTGGCGCAGCCCAGCTGCCTCTCATAGATCCTTCTCCAGGCAGTCCTCATTCAGTGGGCAGCAAAGGTGGCTTTCTTCAAGCTAAAGTTGGACCAGTTGATGGACAGTCTTTGTCGGTTCTGTCTAGCGGAGTCCAAGCAAAACCTGTGAAGACAAAGCCAGACTGTCACAGAAGGACAGAGCCCCCACACAGCACCCAGCCCTATCAACCTCCCATTCTTGCTCGACACTCACTGGAGGGGCTCAGTGAGGGGGCTTGGAGTCAAAGGTCTCTATGCCTGGTGGGCGATCACACCTTCAGGGCGCTGGCCAAGAGCCTGTGCATCTTCTGTTGTGTTTTATCATGTTTTCTACTGTGCTCTTCAAGGGACAGCATAAGAAAAGCAGCTTGCACAATGTGGGAGAGGGACAGAGGGTGACAGGCAGCACTGAAGGGCATGTGCCAGCCCACTGGCTCAAAGGAAGCTTCTCACAGTCATCTTCCTGCTGCTGCTTCTCTATCTGATATACCTGGAGACAGATGCAAATTCTGATGCCCTGTCTAGGCCACCACCTCAGCCACTGCCCGCTGGGGGGCAGGACGGTGTCATTGGCCAGAGGCCACCACACAAGAGGAAGGACTCCAGGTTAGCCTGGAGCAGGTCTTCCTGTGGCACATGCCCTCTCAATCCTGCTCAGCAGCCTGAGCTGACCCAAGAAAAGCAAATGTGCTCCAGGCAGGAAGCCAGCAGCTGAGGTTGGGTGCAATAGCCCCGAGTCTCTGGAAGGAGAGTTCACTCCAGTTGACTGCTGTGCAGGAGAGCTACAGCGGGAACCACAGCGAGGGCCACAAGTGGACACCCGGGAGCTGCTGAGGCGGTAGCCTGCTATGTTTAAGGCTGAAGGTTGTTGGGGGCCAGAACGAGATATGTGTAATGGACCAGAGGAGGCGCTGGAGGCTTTGAGGTCCTGCAGTCTGTCCCAATCTGGCACCATGCCTCAGGATACACCAGGACAGCTGAGGTCCCACACGACCAGGTGATGTGTCATTTAGAGACAGTGAAACCTGAAGTTTGTGTAATTTTCATGTGTCTGAAAGTATCTGTTCCCCAACTACTATGATGTGTTCATTCTCTCTGCTGCAAAGAGGAGCAGGCCAGGCTGGACCTGGCCCACAGCCTGTAGCACCACGGCTGCATCACAGGCAAGAGCTTAGCTCATGTGTGTGTACAGCTGAGTTCTTAGCCTTCCTTCCATCCCACCCCAGGGAGCACGCCCTATGTACATGAAGTCCTTTTGGCTTGAGCCAGCTGCCAGCTCTCTGCCTGGACGTCAACACTGCACACTAAATGGCTTCTGAAAAAGTCCACCCTTTGGGGCTAGAGTGTGTACTAGTCTCGTAGGGGACCTGAGTTTGGTTCCCAGCATCCACAAGTTCCCGTAACTCCAGTTCCAAGGGATTCGATACTCTGCACACACACACACACAAACGTCTTCAAAAATGTGTATGAGTGTTTTGCCTGTGTGTAAGTGCACACACATCCTGTGCAATGCTGGTGGAGACCAGAAGAACATCAGATCCCCTGGAACTGGAGTTACTAATGGTTGTTAGCTGCTACGTGGATGCTGGAGACCAAACTCAGATTCCCTACAGGAGTGGTACACACTCTTAATGGCTGGGCCAGCTCCAGCCCCACACAGACAGATCAAGACCACTCTGTGCCCCATCCCAGGACCAATACCCACTCTCTGTTCCAAATGGGGGTCTTTTCTTTTGTCTGGAGGTGCATCATTTTTCACACTCGTCACTCCAGCTGATCTGGGGAGCAGAAATTAGGAGACCTAAAAGTGGTGGCTGTCAGGGGGTTTGAAACCACATGCCTCAAGTGTGAATCATTTAACTTAAACTCTGTGGGTGCCCAGCTGAGTGCTGTCTAGTGCCTTCTGCCCATGAATGGGCTGGGCATTCTCAACTTCGGAGTCCAAACTTTATATGGCTCTTACCTTCTAAACCTCCAGTGTCTCCTACATACAGCTAAGTCCCTCCCAACTGTCTCCACTGTGTGTGGTCCCTATTCAATCCCACTGTCTCTATGATGCGGTAAGAATGCTCAAAGCTGTTCAAAGAGAATCCTTGCCAAGGCAAAACACCACAGGCTCTTCAGAGCACAGAACTCAAGTCGTCCCCCCAAGAACCTCAGGCCCAGTGAGTCTTGGATGTGCCCTCACCCATACCCCAAATTCAGACCCAGGGGCCTCCCATCAGGCTGTCATCGGACCCCCTCCTGTATGCACCAGACACAGACAGGGTGCAAAAACCCAAGAGGTGGCCCTCACGCAGCGCAGACATCCAACTTTGCAGCTCTGCGGTGCCCCGCGCACTACTTGAGGGATGGAGCACATCACACTTGTGTGCTTCCTCCTCATTGCTTTCACTTAACGTCAGGTCTGTGAACTCTGCTCATGAAGCAGATCTGTTCCACTCTTTCCATGACGACACGGCAGAGGATGGGGAGATGGTGCCACGTGCTTCCTGCTGCCTTCTGGGTGAGAGCCAGGAACAACCAGCATGCTGTGCACCCAGGCATGGTGCTGCTTGCTGGGCTATGTGGGAAGGACTTCACCTTTACTAGGTCCAGTCAGACTACTCCCAGCCAAGGTTCTCTAGTTAATGCGCTTGGGAACTGACTGACAGTGGCCTGGCCAGACCGGCTCTGCTCGAACCCATGCAGAACTGGCCTTGTATTTACTGCTCACATGGCCACTGTGAGACTGTGCTGGTTTCTAACTGGTTTATCTTTCCTGCTGCTCTGTAACCTGCTGTTTACATTTACTCTGAATTAGCATACAAATGGTTTCCATTCTGGCATCAATTACTTTGTTCAATTCAGTTCCACTGTGCAGAGGGCATTACGTCATTCCTCTTCATACTTCTGGGTACTACCCTTGTAAGGTGGTGACAAATTTTTCTTTCTCATTTTCAATAAGGCAAATCCTTGCTACTGAGGTATTCATCTTTATCAGCCTTCATTTTAGTTTATAGAGGTGGGGCCTAACTTTGCTGCCTAGACTGAAGTGATCCTCCAGCCTGTCTCTGGAGTAGAACTACAGGTAGGTAGGTCCCTCTGCACCATGCCATGGCTCACATCTTAGGAACCTTTTAGTTTGAGGTCAGAAGCATTTATTTTCTTCCAAATTAGAAGGTTTCCTTTTGCAGAGGGTTGGTGCTGAGGACCACACCTGGTTCTCTGCACTATACCTACACCCATCCAGAAGTTTGCTTTTGACATTTACTTTTTTTTTTTTTTTGGTCTTTTTGAGACAGTCTCCCTGTAGCCCCAGCTGTCCTGGAACTATGTACATCAGGCTGGACTTGAACTCACAGGGATCCGCCTGCCTCTGCATGCCGAGTGCTGGGATTAAAGGCGTGTGCCACCACGCCCGGCTTATTTTATAATTTTTAAAATTTATTTTATGTGTATGAGTGTTATGCCTGCATGTAAGTGCACCCATGTTGCGCAGTGCCTGAGGAGGACAGAAGAGGGTGTCGGATCCCCTGGACTGGAGTTACAGATGGTTCTAAGCTGCCATGTGGGTGCTGGGATTCAAACCTGGGTCTTCTGCAAGAACAGCCAGTACTCTTTCTTAACTGCTGAGCCATCTCTCCAGCCCCTATTTCATTTTTTTAAGACATAGTCTCACTATGCAGCCATGGCTGGCCTGGAACTCACTATGTAGACCTGGCTCTCTGGCCTCTTAACACACAGAAATTTGCCCGCCTCTGCTTCCTAGTGCTGGGATTAAATACATGTGCTACCATTCCTAGTCCCTAACATTTAAAATCTAAACCCGTGAGGAGCTGGTCTTTTAGAATTGTGGGGGATGGGGATCCAATTCAGTTTTTTCTTTTTGGATAAATGATATCCACAGCCATTTACTACGCATAACTTCGTTTCTACAGCAATCTGCTGACTGATCTTCTGTCACAGAGCCAAGCTAGTATCTCACAGGGCTGTTTCTGGGCTTTGTTCCATATGGCCACCACAATGTCTTCATGACAAAGGCTTCTACGGCTTTACAATAGCAGAGAAAGGTCGCCTTCTTAGTTCTTATTCGGGGAAGTGCTACCAAACCACTCCTTTTTTGTAAAATGCAGAAAGCAAAAGGTAGTTACAGAGCACATGGCACTTGCCAGCCACGTGCCACTGCCTGCGTCCGGTGCCAACACCTTAGTACCTAGCACAGCATAGTCCTTCCTCCTGTCCTCAGAAGCATCTTGGCTTTTTTCTGCATTTTTTTTTTTTTTTCTTTTTGTCTTTTTGAGACAGGGTCTTCCTGTAGCCCCAGCTGGCCTGGAACTCACTATGTAGACCAGGCTGGCCTCGAACTCAAAAAGACTTGCCTGTCCCTGCCTCCCAAGTGCTGGGGGTATTAAAGGTATGAGCCACCACATCCACCTGCATCTTGGCTTTTCACAGCAAGAACCCTTGTTCCTCTTCATAGTCTTAATGCATGCATTTGCATCTATGAACAAGATTTTTTTCTTGAGTCAGAGTCTCATGTAGCCTGGCCAGCCTCAAAACTCTCTATGTGGCTGAGGATGACCATGTATTCCTGATCCTCCTGCCTCCATTTTCCAAATACTGAGATTACAGGTGTGCACCGCCATGCCTGGTTTCATGCAGTGCCGGGGACTAAAACTGAGCAACAGCTCCAGCATCCCACAACTTCAGGACCTACTTCACTGAGACACTTCATGAAAGCACATGGCATGGCTGGGTGTGGAACTCTTCTGTGCCAACAAGTCCCTCTATGACTGTGGATCACCTCAGTCAAGACACTCTTCCACACCCTCCCCTGCCCCTTTGCTGTCCATCCTTGCTCTGCCTTGACTGCAGGCAATAGTGACAGTGGTCTGTCTCTGGGTGAATGTAGATTAACCTGGCAGCATGTGTCTCATGTCTGGCCTCAGTCTCTGTGCATGTTGCTGTGGAGACCCCTCTGTGGTGCTGCCCTGGCAAACAGCGGTTCTTTCTGGAATCTCTGTGGCTGCTGGGAACCGAACTTGGGTCCTCTATAAGAGCAGTATGTGCTCCTAACTGCTAGGCCATCTCTCCAGCCCATTTTCTTTCTGTGGAGTGGATTTCCAACAGAGGGACAGAATGTCCAACTGAGGGATGTTAGGGCTGCTGCAAATTCTTGGTGATTGCAAACAAAACCAACAGGAGGGCAGGTGTGAGGTCATGTGAGCTGGCTTCCATCTTTCAGACGGGGCCTAGACAGAACGTCTGTGTTCTGGAAGACGTTACAGCAAATACTCTAGTTCTGTCTGCTTTTAAAGTTGAAATAAGCAGCGTTTCACATCTATATCCATCTGTGGTCTACCTCTTGCTGAGGCAGAGCTTCTCTCCATGACCAAATCATAGCATATACCAAAATGTTTTACTGACCTATGTTAAGTTTCATGACTAGTCTTGCATTTTAAGTCTTTAGATAAAATCTCAGAAACTCAAAAGCTTTATGATGGTCACTCTTCCTGTCTTTGAACAGGAATCATGGGTAAGGTATTCTTTTAGTGTTTTATTTTCTTATTATTTATTTTTACATTTATGTATGTATGTGTGAAATGCTCGCACTGGCTCCATTCTGTTTCTGCCCAGCCAGTCCCCTGCTCTGACCAAGCACACCCACTCGGGGAGGCCTCATCTTGAAGGCTGCACCTGCAGTTTCAAGAAGTACATGGTTTCTGCAATTCTGAAAAACTTGCTTTTCCTAACTGAAACTTAGAAACTTTTTTTTTTTTTGGTCTTTTTGAGACAGGGTCTCCCTGTAGCCCCAGCTGTCCTTGAACTCACTATATAGAACAGGCTGGCCTTGAACTCACAGAGATCCACCTGCCTCTGCCTCCCAAGTGCTGGGATTAAAGGCGTGTGTCACGCCCGGCTGAAACTTTTTGTTAGCTGAAAACTTCTTTGTTAACTGACCTGCCCCTGCTATAGATAGCATAACTATGGTTACTGGTTTTGCCCCTGACATGATATAATTGTGATTTCAGGCTTTATAAACCACACTCTTTCCTGGGATTGAGAGCTCTTTTGGGAGTGTTTTTTTTTTTAAAAAAAAAAAAAAAAAAAAAAAAAAAAGGACTCTTAATTTGACCGTTACTATGCAGTGTTCCTCTGTGCCTCCTCTTCTGTGGAGCAAGGTCATACTCTGAGGAGGTCAAAGGACAACTCACAGGAATCAATTTTCTACCACCACATGGATTCTTCCACTATGAGGAAGGAACTCAGGTTATCAGGCTTGGGGTCAAGCACCTTTACTTGCTGAGCCATCTTGCTGGCCCATTAAGTGATTTTTCTATAAAAAAAATTCCCTAGTCTTCTGTGCACCAGTTTTGTGTTACCTTTTGAAATACTCCACTTCCCGCTCTGTCTCATCCATGTCCACACTATCCAGGTCGATATCTTTAGGCAGAAAGACATCATCTACAAAATGAAGGAAGGAGGCAAGTCACATTACCAGAGTAACCGTCTTAACAGAACATGATGCATCATTTGCCTTGATTTAATTTAAACAATTCCAGAAAGCATAAAACTAGAGTTTGCAAAGCTCCAAGAGGACAGTTTGCTCTGGTGCTCTTGTGGACACCTAGGACCACTCTCCTATTTGCTAATCAAAGCAATCACTGCCTTGGGTCCCACTGAGACCTGCTGGGTGGAGGTCAGACTGCAGTGCCTTTCAGGTCTTCCCAGTGCAAAGCATGGCTCTGCCTCACTGTGCAGGGCACCAGGGGGTCCACTAGTACATCATCACTCCATTCCCAGAATCTCAGTTAAGTCTGAGTTTCAATTTCTCTCCTGTTCTGACCACGAAATCTGACTGAAGTTGAGCCGCAGCCCCAGGCCTAGGTTCTAGGTACGTGACTGTGTGGAACACCCATTTAGCCACATGGAGGAAAACGGAAAAGCAGAAGCCACTCGCATCCCTTTGTTAAAGATGAGACTCTGCCTCTAAACCATCACCCTAGTTCTTGCTATGATGGGGCATTTCCGCAGTGTCATAATTAAGGCACATTTCACATGGCAGAGTACTGAAGGCTGCAAGTATCCTATGATAAAAAGACCTAGGTCCAGGAAAGGGTTTCTGGGCATCTAAACTCAGGAGGAAGGGAACATCAGGCTTGGGGGAAAGGCAGCCTAGGAGTAAGACCAGTGCCGAAGGCAGATGGGATGAGGGTGGGGAAGCTTGGACCACAACAGGCTCTGCACACATGCACAGGGCTGTGCTCCAGAACAGATCCCAGATTTGCAGATTCAAGCTGAAGAAGCTGGCATGGTGGCACTTGCCTGTTATCTCAGGCATTCCAGCCTGGGCTACACAATAACCCCATTGTAAGAACAAAAAACAAGGGAGAGATGGCTCAGCAAGTAAAGGCACTTGCTGCCAACTTGAGCTCGATTCCCAGAACCACAAGGTAGAAGGAGAGAACTGAGTCCTGCAGGTTGTCCTCATGTTCAAATGTGCATCGTGGCATGTACTTGTCCTTCCCCCCCATAAATGGAAAGGGAGGGCAAAAACAAACCACAAACACACAGAACTGCACAAGAGGAAGCAGAAACCTGGTGTAGCCAAGGCAGATGTATGGCAGATAGGAGAAAACGGCAGCTCAGCAGCTGTTCCCAACGCCGGGCCAGGGAAACCAGGACAGCGCACACTGGCTGGGTGTGCCTGTGGGAGGAGGCCTGTGGAGGAGGCCTGTGGGAGGTGGGCCTGTGGGAGGAGGCCTGTGGGAGGAGGCCTGTGGGAGGTGTAGCCCTACAGTCTAGCATACACGTTCTTAATCAGAATGTAGTCTCAGACTGAAGGTGTAGCTAAGTTTACTAGTGTTTGTCCAGCAAGCATGAAACTCTGGGTTCAGTCCCCAGCACCACATAGACTGGATATGGTGGTGCATGCCTGTAATCCCAACACTTGGAAGGTGGAGGTAGAAGGATGAGAAGTTCCAAGTTAGCCAGGTATGGTGGTGCATGCCTTTAATCCCAGCAGTTGGGAGACAGAGGCAGGCAGATGTCTGTGAGTTCCAGGCCAGCTGAGGATACCAGGAGACCCTGTCTCAAAAGAAGGCAAAAAAAAAAAAAGTTCAAAGTTATTGTAAAGCTACACACCAAGCACTACACTCATCTCAGTTCTGCATAGAGTGGACGTCACAGCACATGCCTGTAATACCAACACTTGAGAGGGGAGCAGGATGATCAGAAGTGCAAAGTCAGCAGCAGCTAAACATCTGAAGCTCTTTTGGGCTACACGAGATGCTGTCTCAGAAATAAATGAGCAAACACCAAAGTAAAACAAAACAAAACCAGCGACAGCAGTCACCCATCCAGACACTGCACACCTGGAGCCAGCAGCAGCAGCCACCCATCCAGACACTGCACATCTGGAGCCAGCGGCAGCAGCCACCCATCCAGACACTGCACACCTGGAGCCAGCGGCAGCAGCCACCCATCCAGACACTGCACACCTGGAGCCAGCGGCAGCAGCCACCCATCCAGACACTGCACACCTGGAGCCAGCGGCAGCAGCCACCCATCCAGACACTGCACATCTGGAGCCAGCGGCAGCAGCCACCCATCCAGACACTGCACGTCTGGAACCAGCGGCCAGTGAGACGGACAGTGGGGCAATCAGCAAGTGGAGAAAGCTTTCCCAGGACTTGAACACACCAGCCACCGCCCTCACAGGACGCTAACGTGCCAGCTACCGCTTTCACAGGCTGCTAACATGCCAGCCACTGCTTTCACATGATACTAACATGTATACCACCGCTTTTACAGGAACAATGAGTGAGGCTGTACTGTTAACAAGAATCCAGTCATATGCCCCATTTAAAACATAAAAACAAAACACCAAGTTGAAATTACTTTTAGTAATAACTTAGTAAAATATACCTAAATGCCATTTCAACATGTAATTAATAAAACATTATACTGTGATTAACGATGTAGTTCAGTGGTAGAATGCTTTTCTGGCATGCACAAGGCCCTGAGTTCCATCCCCAGCACTGAAAATGGAAGTACACGGAGACAGTCCATGCATTTTGTTAGTTTACGCTGCAGTGCAAAGTGTACAGTTATAACTCCTTCCAATCTGGACAACCCAGACTTCAAGTGCTCAAAGTCAGTCACAGATAAAGAACAGGGAGAGTCCTGCACAACCCTTAAAATACAGAGCTCGACGATACCATGGTTCATACTGAGACAGATCCAGTGCATCAGCAAATCTGCCACACAAGGGCAGTGCTACAAGGTACAGGGGCAGGTAAGCTTTGTCAGAAACGCTCTAGAGATCACTGGGGAAAAGATAAAACTGGATCCATACTCACACCACACATGATAAACCCTAAATGTCAAGAGATCTATGTGGGGTGAGGGAGAAGAAGCCACACAAAACAGTAGAGAAAGGTGGGTGCCTTCCTCCGTAACCTGGCAACTGGGGTAAAGCTAACAATTACTCAAACGCAAAGGTAACAACACTGGTAAAATGATGTGAACGCAAACAAGACAAAGACCACAGAACTTAGGAACCGGGAAAAAATCTTGGCAGCACAGGACACAGCTGAATGGCCAATATTCCTAATTTATAAAGATTTTTCTTTTCTTTTTTTTTTTTCTTTCTTTCTTTATTTTTTTTGGTCTTTTTGAGACAGGGTCTCCCTGTAGCCCCAGCTGTCCTGGAACTCACAAAGATCCGCCTGCCTCTGCCTCCTGAGTGCTGGGATTAAAGATGTGTGCCACCACTCCTGGCCCTAGGATTTCTTAATGAGTAGCTAAATTCTAGTAAAAACAAAAAACAAAAACCAAGAAATAGGTTACGAATAGAAAACTCACAAAAAAGACAGAAACTTTCCTTAAAAATTTACTAACCTCAGGCCAGGTATGGTGGCGCACACCTTTAAGCCTAGGACTTGGGAGGCAGAGGCAGGTGGAGCTCCAGGACACACACACACACACACACACACACACACACACACACACACGGCTGGACTACGAGCATGTGTCACGCGGCAGGAGGCCCCCTGGAGGGCTGAGGAAACGTGGCAGTATCCCACAATACCTGTGTACTTGCCATCTGACCAGCACCTGCTTTCTGAGGAAGCACTCTGAGGAGAATCCTTAGACATGGAAACAGACCTGGACAGCATCGTGTGAGATTACAGAGCACTGGAAACCTAGCTAAGTGCTCTCCAAAGACAATGGTTGAAGAGACTGTAGCACATTGAAAACCGTTGCAGTACAGGACAGCTGGTAAAGAGCAAGACCTATGTCTGTGAACTGATAGAAGGGCTTCCCAAAATAAGAGTTTAAAAGAGAATAACAGTAGCCAGATGTGGTGGCACATACCTTTGATGCCAGCACTTGGGGAGGCAGAGGCAGGTGGATCTTTTTGAGCTCAAAGCCAGCCTGGTCTACATTCTACATAGCAAGTTCCAGGCCAATTGGGGCTATAGAGAGATCCTGTCTCAAAAAGACAAAAAAAAAAAAAAAAAAAAAAAAAAAAAAAGAAAGAAAGAAAAATAGTACCCGTATATAGCATGCAACAATTTGTACACAACACAAGCAATTCATCTTTCCCACAGCGTAAGGGCAGAAAATTCTGAAGCCACTTCAAATGTATTTCACACCGAAATCAGCAAACTTGTGGACAACAGCTCAGTTCTTACAATCGGAGAATGGCTGAGAACTTGCACCTTGTACTGGGGTATTATGGGAACTCACTGTGACACAGGTAAATCAAATTTACTAACTTTCTGTACTGGAAATCGGGCATACATTACTTCCACTCAGTATGGCACTGAACATGCCCAGGATGGGAGGGATGTTAGCCTTCCCCCTTACCCACCAGCTCTGTGCCTGTGGATCCAACCAACCACAGATCAGAAACAACAGACACAACTGTGTACTCTTCTGAGGCTTTCTGATGTCTAAACGTGTTTCAGAGTGACAGGATGTAGGAGCTACGCATGCCTGCTGGGGAGTAACGGACTGTAGCGTCCGCCCGCCCTGAGGGGACCTGTACAACATGGGCTTCCTCAGGCTCTTGGCCCAGGCGGGAGCAGCCCTTCTGGTCTGTATTTACCGATTGAACTGCTGGCTCGGTCTCCTTTCTTCTTCTTGTTTTTCTTGTTCTTGCCCTTGGGCTGAGGAGAGTCGGCCAGAACCAGCCTACCGTTCTGCAGAGGCTGGCTGGGGGAGGGCGGCTCGGGGGTGCCAGGTAGGGGCTTCTCCTCCCTGGCATGGCTCAGCTGCTTCTTGTTGTTGTTGTTACTGTTGCCTTTCCTCTCCTCTCTCTTCTGCTCTGTGAGGGGAGTGAGGTCAATCACTTTAGCCTTGAACTCAGGCTGGGCCCTGGGCTTGGGCTGCAGCTCCATGGTTCTGGGGGGCTCCACGGATCTAGGGGGCTCCAGGGTTCTGGGAGGCTCCACGGGCTTTCTGGCTGGCTCACTGCTGGCCTTGCTCATCTGCTTTAGTTTCTGTTTGCTGCTTCCCTCCTTGTGATGATGCATCATGTCCAAGAGAAATGCAAGTGGCTCGTGTTGCTTCCCTCTGACCTCCTTGGGGAGGAGAAGCTTAGAGTCTCTGGGGTCCACAGGGTCTGGGGTGTCCCCGTTTGCTGTGGGCCCCGGCCTGGGCTCTGAGTGGTTTGCGTGTCTGGATGGGGAGTGAGATGAGGTTTCTGGTTCTTCGGCTTGTTCTACTGAGCCATTGTGGAGGTTTTCAGAGTTAGAGACAGACTCTGTTACTGCCTGAAAATTCCTGGCGAGCATGTCCAGCTTGGGACAGTCTTTGCTCGGCCTGTCCTTTTTCTTCTTCTTCACAGCTCTTAGCTTCTGAAGCTCCTGAAGTCGCTGAAATTCCTCCTTGAAACGTTGCTCCTCCTCCTCCTCCTCCTCCTCCTCCTCCTCTTCTTCCTCTTCCCGCCGCCTCTGCTCCTCCTGGAGGTGCAGATGCTCCCGTGCCCTGGCCTCAGCTTCCAGGCGTGCCTTCTCCTCCAGCTGCCGAAGGAAAAAGGGAAGATGGCTTTAGAGTATGGATACGAACTCTAAAACTGCCAGGGCTGGCGAGAAGGCTCAGCTGCCAAGCCTCATGAACTCAGTTTGATCCCCAGGATTTACGTGGTAAAAGAAAAGAACCGACTCCAAGCTGTATCTGACCTCCAGACACCACGATGACCGCCCCCCAGCCCCTATGGCAAGTAAATGTAATTAAGAAAATCTCTAAACCTTGAGATATACAAAAAACTAAAACAATTTAAATCATCAATCACATACTGCAAAATAAACTTTGAAGGGGCAGTAATGAGCCGAGACCTTGAGCATCCTACCTCCAATTACTTCCACAGAACTGTTAATCTCATAGATCTACCAAAGCACGTGACTGCTTTACTGGGGACAGGGGTGGTGGCTAGCAGCCTCTGATCAACAGCTGGGCACTAGGAGCAGTCACAGCGGCTTCTGTGCTTGTGTGCTGCACCCAGGAAGCTGGCCACCTATTTCTGTGTATGGCAAGAAATTGGCTCACTGGTGGGTGACGACCAAACCAAGGTCTTACTGGCTGCTGGAGCTCGTGGCAGGCTCACCTGTCCAGGTGAGGGCTGAAGCTGACGTATGTACCTACACCAACAGACCATGAACAAAATGTGCTGAAAATCTAAAAATCCAGCAAATAAAGTCTTAAGTATATTTTCACTCGTTCAGTTATCACACAGCAAATGCAACCTCAGTGCTTTCCTGCTGTCCGGCCTGACAGAAAGACGTTTCACTTCAAGTCAAGATTCCACTTTACTAATTATATATGCTCCCAGAGTGCAAAGGATGTAGGAGAAACAAAACCAAATAAACCATGAGGAGAAATAGGCATGGCCCCTACGACTCCCATAAGGCTAGCACTTTGAGAAACTGGCAATAATGTCTGGCCTGTCAAATGTAAAGGACTGTCCAAGTTTAAGTTGTTTTTTATGCTGGGGTGGTAGTACTTTAATCCCAGCACTCTAGAGGCAGAGGTATTTGGATCTCTGGGAGTTCAAGGACAGTCTGGTCTACACAGTGAGTTCCAGGTCAGCTAGGACTACAGGGAGACCCTGTCTCAAAAAGACCAAGAAAAAAGTTTTTCATAATCCATGTTTTTTGGAACAGTTCTCACTATACTGCCCAGCCTGGCTCTGAACTCCTGGACTCCAGTGACCCTCCCATTTCATAGGCCAAAGCAGCTGAGACCACAGAAATGTATCACCACCACTCAGCTATCATTCACATTTTTTTCTTGTGTCTGTGTACATGTGTGTATGCAAGTGTGTGGGTGCGTGTGTGGGTGTGCATGTGCGCGTGCTCAGTGTGTCTTGATGGCTGCTTACTTTATTCAGGCAAGGTCTCTCACTGAACCCAGAGCTTGCCAATTTTCATCAGTCGAGCTAGCCAACTTGTCGGGAGAATTCTGTCTCTGCCTCCTGAGTGTTGGGATTACAGATGGCCACTAGGCCTGCTCAGATTTTTAAAAAGATTTTTATTTATGTATATACGATATATATGTGTGTATGCCACATGTGTGCAGGAACCCCAGAGGCCAGAAGAGGGTGTGGGATTAGTGGAACTAGAGTTTCAGGCAGTTGTAAGCTGCCTGACCTGGGTCTGGAACAGAACTTGGGTTGTCTGGAAGAGTACTAAGTCCCCTTAACCACAGAGCCACCTCTCCAGCCCATGCCTGAGCTCTGAATATCTCAACTCTGGTCTGCAGGTTTGTGTGGCAAGTGCTTCGTCCCCGAGCCATCTCCCCATGCCGTATTTTTCACAATATTTTAAAGAGACAAATCTGTGCTTAAAAAATTTGGCAAAAATTAATTCAAAGCCTTGTTCCATACAAAGACGGGAAACGGCATTGACACGAAGGTACTGGAAGGGACCTGGGAACGTCATGTTTGTCTGCTGTGAGCTACGGGGCAAACTGGCATCATCACCACATACACAGGCACACGTGGACTGGCTAGCATCCCAGAGTTCAGACCCTGAATACTGACAGCATGCTGACATGAGCTCCCTGTCATATCCTGGACTAGGACCAAGCAGGTGAAGACATGTGCTTTGGGCAGGTGCTCTAGGTTCCAGCAGAGGGCGGCCAGCACAGGTCTATAGCTGAGTCCATTCCAGGACTTCGGCACAACTCACCATCTGTGTGATGCCATGTAAAACAGGGAGCTGGGCAGAGAGCGCCAGGTCACTGAAGGGTACATGGGTGCTGAGTACGGCCAGGAGCACTGGACCAATGGTGGCCTGAAGTTTAGATCCAGGCTGCCTATAAGGCCAGGGGCAGCACCATGAGGTAGAGGGTGTTCGTGAAGACCATGGGAAGGAGTCCCAAAGGCCTCCAGTGAATCCCTGGGGCTGTGGACCACCCTGGATGGAGCATCCATCTCACCATTCTCCCTCAGCACACCCAGATCTTCAGGGTCCAACATGGGCCCCCAAGTCTCTGAGAGTCAGTCCACACCCCCTCAGGACTGTGGTGGTCCAATCAGCAGTACGACAATCATGGCTTCCTTTAAAAAAAAAAAAAAAATCACACCTGGGAAGGCCAGGAGCAACACAAGGCAGGTGGTTCATGCTAGAACTGTCCTCGTCATGACCCTGCCTCTTCCCAAGGCAACGAACGGTCTGACAAAACCCTTGGCAACCTGAAGTTCCCGATGAAGCTACATCTATCTGCCTGACGAGGTCTGGTTTTTAGAGTTCAGAATTTGGGGGGGGGCTCTAAAGAGAAGGCTGTCTGGAATTGCTTCAGACAGAGAGGGGATCCATCAAAGACCTTCTAAGACCTTTCTTACTGGAGGGAAGGTGGTGAAGCACAAAGTAAATCGCTGGCCAGCGCTTTCAGCATCAGTATAAACAACAGAATTCTGTACACCTTGCTTACTGCATCACAGCCATGTCCTCTCACAGCCCTGACCATGGTGACATGCCATGCCCTCAGTCTTGAGGAGGCTGGAACTGCTTAGGGGTTCCCACCAAGGACAGCTGGCTCACCTTCTCATCCTTACGCTGATGCCATGAGCTAGCCTTCAACTTGGCTGGCCAGTGGGTCAGGACAGGGTATGAGAGGGCCTGCTTGGCTGGGAGTGTGGAAGGTTCATGGGCCAGTGCTCTGTATCCTACCAAAAGTTACCTCTTCATCTTCAGACTCTATAAAGTTGTCTCAATAGCCAGTACAGGGCTTGAAGTGCAAGTGTGGTCTACTACAAAACCTCCATTCAAGGGAAACAGTTTGCTGAGGACACAGGCTGGCAGAGACCGACAGGGACTCTCAAGAGCACCAGGGTGGGAGGATCAAGCAGCCCTGGCCCTCTGAGCATGCACCTTTACTTACCTTTCTCTGCTTGTGCCTGGCTCGCTTGGCTGCCCGAGTACTGCTAACTGGCTTGGTCTCTGAGCTGTTTATAAACTGTAACAGATCCTCTACTCTCCGATGGTCAACTACACCTTCACGTTCTGAGATCTGGTCCATTTTCTTGGGTTGCTCTTCCTTCCTCTTGGTCAGCCGTAAACGAAGTTTTTCCCTCATTTCTGCATAGTTTCTACTTGTTGGTGCAGCTGGAGGCTAAGGGAAGAGCGGAGCAGAAGGAAGCTTCAGGTCTTAAGTCTGAACGCAACAAACTTCAGAACACATCTGTGAAAATAACCTGCTTTTCAAAAAGATCCCTTAAAAAGTATATGATCATTGTAAAAGTAAGGAAATGAGACAAATGGGGGGAAAAAGCCCTAACCATCATCAAGTAACTTAAAAGTTGAGTTTTGGTAACTACCCTTCAAGTTGGTGTGTATTTGCCAAAACACAGTAAAATATATACAAACGGACTTTTTAAGCTGAAAAGCTACAATCATATACATATATTTTTCTATTTCTATTGAGTACAGTGGGATTAACTTTTTCTAAACTCTTAGTGCAGGGAACCAAACACCAGGCTGCTCTTGCAGAGGACATGAATTTGGTTCCCAGCACCCACATGGCAGCTCACCATCTGTAACTCTAGTTCTAGGGGAGCTGATGTCTTCTGACCTCCATAGACACTGCACAACAGAGGTGCACTTATACATATTTGGGCAATATACTCATATACATAAACTAAAAAGAGTAAGTACAATACTTTTTAAAAGGTGCAGGGGCAGAAGGGGAAACACATTATTCTTAGTCCTAGTACCAAATTCCTTACTATTAAAAAAATCATACAAATATTTCAGGAAATGGAGATAGAACAAAATCAGAAAGAAAAATGGAGATAGAACAAAATCAGAAAAACAAAAAAACTGCGTGCCCCTTTATGTACTTTCCATCTCTAGGAAGCATGGGTTGTACAATATGGTCATTGCTCTGGAGAGGTACACAAGCAAGCAGGGCCAGCATCCTTTATACTTTTTTTTGGTCTTTTTGAGACAGGGTCTCTGGGGGTCTCCATATAGCCCCAGCTGGCCTGAAATTCACTATGTAGACCAGACTGGCCTTGAACTCAGAGATCTGCCTGCCATTGCCTCAGCATCCTTTACATTCATCCAAGAGGACTTATCCTGACCACAGACTGTGCAGAAGCCAAACTGAGCTTTCCCACAGTGGAGTTAGTAAGCCCTACTCCATCATCTCTTTCAGTCTCACCAGCAAATAACAGAACTGCAGTGATAAATGTGGTGGCTCAAGCTGTGATCTTTGGTACTTAGGAGGCTAAGGCACAAGACCTGCTCTAAGTTTCAGGCCAGCCTGAACTACATAGGGAATTAGTTCCAGGTCAGCTTAGGCTATAGACCAAGACCCTGTCTCAAAAAAAGAGATGAACCACCACCATCACCAACAAAATGCAGTGATAGAAGAATAAAAAACACACCTAGGCATGGTGATGCATGCCTTTAATCCCAGCACTCGGGAGACAGATATAGGAGAATCTCTGAGTTTGAGGCCAGCTTGGTCTACATAGTGAGTTCTAAGCTATCCAGGGCGACATAGTGAGCCCGTCTCAAAAAACAAAACAAGAGTAAGAGATGTACTAATGGAATCGTGCCTAAGACAAGCATAATCTCGTGGTTCAAATGTTGCTCAGGCTGTAAGTGCACCCATGTTGTGCAATACCTAAAGAGGTCAGAAGATGGCATCAAATTCCCCTGGAAGGACCTGGAGTTAGGGACAGTTGTTAGCTGCCACATGGATGCTGGGAATCAAACCTAGGTGTTTCTGCAAGAGCTCTTGGCTGCTGAATCATCTCTCCAGCCCCCAGGCTGGGGCTTTTTTTTTTTTTTTTGGTCTTTTTGAGACAGGGTATAGCCCTGTAGCCTATAGCCATAGGTGTCCTAGTAGAACTCACTACGTAGACCAGGCTGGCCTTGATCTCACAGAGATCTGCCTGTCTCTGCCTTCCAAGTGCTGGGGTTAAAGGCATGCCACACCCAGTTCAAGCTGTAGCTTTAACAGACTTTTCCCTGTCTATTTCATACATGCATGTCATGTACTTGGATTCTATTGTCCCAATGTCCTCCTGCCCTGCCCCAATCCCCTCCTATGCTACTTCCACGGCTTTCTGTTGTCTTACCAGTGAGTTTATAATTGGGGATGCTTGCCTAGGACTGCATCTTGATGTTCAGGACACTGTAAGGGTTCGGGTTCCCCAACTCTCAGGTCCTAAGACACTGACTGTGCCCACTCACCCCGCCGTGTCCGAAGAACTCGCAGTAGCAGCAGTCACAGTACTTGCCCTCCCTCTGGTTAGTGGAAGTCGAAGTGCTGGAGCTGTGCTCAGAGCAGCTGTCCTCATCCGCACTCTCATCCCCATCATCCTGCTGTGGGTCATAGACACCGTTCTCGCAGCGGTGTCCTTCACAGTCAGGGTCACTGCAAAGCCACACACAGCTTACTAGCAAGCAGCCATCAGGAGGCCCTGACTGTTCCTCATGCCCAACTGCTGTTCTGCTCATGGTCTGGACCAAGGCGGCAAAGAGGGTACATGGCTCCAGGTCACAGGGTCACATGCTGCGCCATCAGCCAGGACAGTGTGGTGACTGGATTCAGACACACAGCAGACTGCAGTAGTCACAGCACACTTACAGTCCCACTGAGTGGCCTCACGACTCCTTCCAGTCCACTTTCCTGCAACCACTGGTTCCACAATAGATGTTAGGGAGGCTGTGCTTCCAACAGGCAACTCAGAAGTACCAGAAATAGTCTTTTATAAAACCACCAGGTGTAGTTATTTATTTTAGTATACACCTGTTGTAAATCACCTTGTGGTCTACCCAATGTATAGCAAATAAAACTGAAAAAGCAAGCAAGGCCACCCTAATGCCAACAGTAAAGATGGCAGCCTCCCCAAGCCTGGTCTTGGCAGCCAGGGCCATTGTCCTTCACTATGAAGAACTAGAGGCTGAGACTGCGCCTGGAGTTTCTGTACCCCCATGGCCTTGGCCGCTGCTCGGGGAGGGGAGACTCCCTGGGTTTCTCCTGTACTGGACTTGTTACCTGCCTGGACCCAGGGGCAGTGTACTGTCTAGTTACCACACAGCTCCCAGCCCTGTAGCAGGAAGCTGGGCTCTGTAGCTCACCTGCAGACGCTGGGAGGGGCACTGACGGAGCCATCTGTGGTGGAGGGTGCGGGTGCCACAGGAGTAGGACAGAAGCTCTTGCGTGCATCCACAAACCCAGGGGCGGTGGTTACTGTTTTGGGGAATGACGGGGCAGTAAGATTCGGAAGGTGAGGCGTGGAAGCTGGAGAGAGTGAAGCAGGAGACAAGGCTGGGAGCGGGGCCAGGCCCGTGGGGCTGTTCCTTGGAGCAGCAGGTGCTGAGTGTCTGTGGTCCTCCTTGTTGAGGCCGTGAAAGACATCACCTGCATGTAGAGACAGAGAGATTGCCACTGGCTGGAGAAATGACAGTCATGTTTCCTAGCTTACATTTATTCATCAATCTTTTGTTCTAAAAATGTTCGGACTTAGAGAAACTCTGAAGGAACAGAACAAAGGAGAGCCACCCTCCTTCAGCACGACTCGCCACGTTTCCTTTATTTCTCACAAGCATGCCTGATCTGGGTCCAACATCTGTAGACAGCTGTGTTAGCCAGGGACTCCAGCCTGAGCTCTTGGGATCCTGGAAGTTTGCAGGGAACCCATGCTTGCCCCATCGTGGGCGCCAGCACTGACAGGCTAATGCAATGTTATCTGATTCCAAGCTTCTAATTTCCCCAAGACCTTTACAGATTCTTCTCCAACTAATCTAACCACTGCCAAACTCTTTTTCTTTCACAACATGGATGTAATTAAAGAGATGCCATCTGTCCAGTGTGGCTCATCTTGTCTATCAGGTTTGGGTGAACCACTTTAGATTTGAATCCTGCAAAGGTAAGCTAGATGGAGCACAAAAGCCCTTTGCTCCCCTGGGGTCTGTGGGTTTTATGGCTGCCAGCTTCTTCCAGAGGGGTGTCTACCATCACTCCATAACAGGTCAGTCCCTGTAGAAATGCTACGGCTGCCAAACGGATATCCAGTGTTAACAGTCCCTGGAGGACCTGCCTGAGGTGTGGTTTAATGGTAGATGTTTGTCTAGCATGTGTGAGGTTCTGGAACACACACATACCTGAGTGGGGACAGCCTATCTAACTGGGCATGGTGGTACATGTTTGCCATCTCAGCACTAGCTAGGCTGAGGCAAGAGGTTTCAGGCCAGCCTGGACTACACAGAGGTTTCAGGCCAGCCTGGACTATATAGCAAGACTCTTGACCTGAATAGCATATATTCAATGCTCTCTGCTTCCCCTGATTGGGGATGCCATGTGACCAACTGCTTCAAGTTCCTGATGCCTGGACTTCATGGGGACCATGGACCAAATCTTTTGATTGTGGGCTGAATAAACCCTCTCTTCCTTGAGTTGCTCTTTTCAGATTATTCTGTGACAGCAACAGGAAAAGAAACTAAGATACTCCCTGTCTAGGCTGACCAGGATCAGCCGATGGACTGCTGCCTGCCACAGATAAGTCTCCTTGTACTATACCCTGTTACAGTTGAGTACATGCTTCTGTAAAGAAGAGCTTTCAAACACTGAGCCACTTGGACATCAGAGTCCCGACTGAGTGCCAGGTTTCATCACACTCTTTTTCGCCCACTTTAGTAAGTAGGATGATCATTATTCTTTTTGATGCTCAAACTGTTTCAGCTTTGACTGGTCTGATAAAAGCCAGCTGCCAAATTCTTTGACATGTGCCCTAAGTCTCCAAAATCATTTCCTTGCTTTTAGAAAAGCCCCTTTGAACAGAAAGTAATTAATTTGAGTGACAGCATGCTGGGGGACAGGTAGTCTTGTTGGTTTGAACAAGTACTATTCTGCTCAACAGGTCCCTAGAGCTATGCACATAACCTCTGCCCATCACACTAAATGGAGGCTGGAGGCAAGGCAGAGCTCAGCAGCCCAGTGGCATTCAGTATAGCAGCCAGAATTCCCACCAGAACCCACAAGGCAGGCTCTTCCGCACAAGTGTCTTCAGGTATTTGCTGGTTTCTGCCTCCAGCAAGGCTAAAGAAAAGGTAACGACATGGGTGGTGGAAGAAGTCAGAGGCCAAAAGGCTCCCAGGGTCCTTACCTATGGAAGGTGGTCTTCTGGATGACACCTTGAACTGACTGCTGCTGGACTGCACTGTGGTGGCCGTGCATGACACCGAGGATGTGGCCGAGGAGGTAGCCATGGCGACAGTGTTGGCCATGGCAACGTCATTTGCTTCCATAAAAGCATCTTGGAAACTGTACAAACACTTCTTTTTCGCAGCATTTTTCTTCTCTTTGCTATCTGACACTGCAGGAGCTTCACTGCTGGGTGGAGGTGGAAGGGCTTCGGGTCTTGTTTCTGAGAGGGCTGGCCCCAGTATATCACTCCCTTTGGAGAAGAATGGGAAAGTGAAGGCTTCTAAGAGAAGGAGCACTTGGCAAAACCCCCTAAGGGACATGCTGAGACTGGGGCTGCTATTGAAGTCAGGACTCCTCTGGGGTGAAGCTTTTATTCCAAGGAAAAAGGTTTATTGAGCACCTATTATGTGCCAATTCCTGTGCTAGGTGCTTTCCAAAATTCACTGAATGCCCTGAAACCACTATTCCCATCCTAAAGATGAAGAAACTGAGGCTCAGAAAGGCTAAGCAACTTGCCTAAGGTCACACAGCTAGAAATCCTTTCCAAGCACAGATCAGGATGTCACAGCTAGCTTCTGAGCACATGCAGGGCTGAGTGTGGTGCTACCTGGGGGCTCTAGCCATCTGAAGACAGAGAGGAGGTAGAAGCACCAGCCCCTCACAGGAGCCTCTGGCCCTATGACTGACATAACAGCTAGCCTCAGCAGCCAAGGCAGCTGGGGAGGAGGGTACTTGTTAGAGGGGAGAGAGGTTCTAGGGGTCAGTACAGAAGCCTGAGACTAGGAACCTGACGCACGGCATTCAAGTGGATGTGTCACTGTCTCCCTGTCCCCATGCTCTGGGCTGAGGTCTGGTGGTCACCACTACCTGAGAACTGAAGGCTGGACACAAACCCTGAAGACCAGACCCTCTGTGGCAGAAAGGGCCAGGCAGGGCAGCATCATGTGGCTCGCTGGTGCTGGTTTGGAGCCAGTGTTGGCTCTGTCAGTCAATGCAGTGGTCCCATCAGTGCAGGTGTGAAAGGATGGGTGAAGTACCAGGCCCGGGGCCTCCTGCTGGGGAGTGGTGGCTGGGAGAGCTGTGGCTGGGCCTCCATGGGAATGTGATGATGGCAATCTACTTGGCTTAGAGTACTTAAAACCTTAAGAAAGTTTCAACAAATTCCTTACCAGAAATTGTATCTGGCAAGAAAGTGCCAGGGTTCCAGTTCTTATCATTCATCACTTCTGATCCCCAAAGACTTATAAATTTAGAACTATTCCACTCTGGAGTATTCCCAAAACAGCTTGGATAAATATGGTCTTGAAGAGATGCATTGAATACCTGATGCTTATTTGTGTGATTCTGAACAGGTGCTGGCGGTAAAGCCTACAAAAAAAAATGTTCTAATCACATATCAAAATTAATATTCTGTTTACCTATGTAGTTAAACTACAAACAGACAAATTGTGACTGAAACCTTGTGGGCTACACTCCCCGAAAGCCAGTGTCCACAGGGAGACTACACATGTAGGTCAACGTTTAACCACAGGTACCCAATGCCTTCAGATAACTTAGCCGCTTCTAATACTCCTATCCAGTCACACTTTAAATGTAGTTCTCCCACATTTAAAGATCTGTTCTGTGGCTTAAAAGTCTCACCACTATCACGTTCGCTTTGGAAGCACTGACAATGCTAAGCTCTTACTCTGAACTCTTAGACCTGTGCAAAGAGCAGCACAGATCTGAAGAGCGAAAGGGGAAAGGGATTTTTTTTTTTTTTTGGATGTGTGTAAGTCTATTGCCTGCATAGCATGTATGTAAGTGCACCACATGTATACAATGCCCTCAGAAGCCAGAAGAGGGCATCAGATCCCCTGGAACTGGCGTTAGGGATGGTTGTTAGCCACCATGTGGGTGCTGGGAACCAAACTTAGGTCCTCTGCAAGAGCAGTCAGTACCCTTAGCTGTTAAGCATCTCTCCAGCCCCACAACAGGGATTTTTATTGTGAAGCTGGGTGCTGGCTCCTGTTCCCAGGGCACCAGCCTCAATCAGCAAGTCAGCCTGGGCCCTGTGGAAGGCCCTTACTGAGGGGCCGGGGGAAGGGACTGGGGTCTAGTTAGTGGGTCAGCAGCATCAACTATTTACTGAGTGCCAACTTGCTGGCAGCTCCCTACACATGCCTAACTGTCCTAGGACCTCCCTGCTAACTCTACAGAGGGCCTGAGTCTTCTGCCAGTCCTTTTCCTCACAGCAGCCTGAGTCATCTTTATTGAGTGTCACCTCATTGCTCAGAATGCAGAGGTGGCTTCCTGCTGCTTTTACGATAAAAGCCAAAGTCCTTACCATGCCCCAGTGGCATCCCAGGGAATCGAAGCACCTCCCTTCCTCCTGCTAGCAAGCCTGGCACCCAGGCCTCCCTCTCTGGTCTCCACCTGTTCAGCTCCTCCTCTCTCCTGCTCCTGCTCACCTGTGTGCAAGCTCTGCTCTTTGTGTATACTGACTCCCAGCCGCAGGCCAAGGCCACTGTGCCAGAGACGCTGCCACTGCTTTTGTTCCCACTACTCAAGATCCAACACCCAGGACCAAGGGAAGCCTCATTCTAAACGCCCCAGGTGTCTGGAATCATCCTCCTTCATGCCCTTGCATAATGCAAGACTGATTTGTAGCCTCACAGTTTAATGTCTGCCTTGCCCTGAATCACAGGCACTACGTAAGGTGACAGAACATTGAGATCCTGGCTCTGTATTCTAGTCCTGGCCAACTCTGTTCCCTCAGCAGTTAGGATGAATGGGAGGGCCGTGCACTGAGCAAGCTACAAGTCTGACCTTAAGATTGGTGATTCCAGTCTCTGTGATGCTCAAACGAACAGCAGATTCTATGGATCTAAGGAGTCCCAACTTTGGGTGACAGAATCCTGAGGGTCTGATGGGGCAGATGGAGGAAGGGATGGGAACAATCTGGGGACAACCCATCAGATGTGGATAGCAGAGGCCACATCAGAGGTCACTGTGTGATTATCATCCTGTCCAGGGGGAGGGGAGCCACCAGAGTGCCAGGCCAGGAAGAGACAACCAGGTCAGTTTATTAGAAAGATCAGTTACAGTGGATAGACAGCAGGGTGGGGTGCGGTGCTGGAGTCACTGGCTAGGTAATGAGAAATGATAATACAATGTGCTGAAGACGGTGAGGGAAAGGAAGAATTTGGGGGCAATGACTGACTGGCAGTCAGGGACTGGCATCCCTGGCCTCTTCCCAAGGGCATGGTCAATGAGAGATAAAGAGGAACTGGGTATATGTCTCAGCCTCCCTGCAGTAGCTGTGTGACCTCAGGCGATATCGCTCAATCTTTTGTGCTTTAGTTTTCTCATCTGAAACTGGGAGATACCTACCCCAGAGGCTTTAGTAAGGCAGCATACTGCCTGGCCTGCAGTAAGCATTTGATGAGGGGCAAAGATGGATTTCTAGCATTTTCTAAGACTGTGATTCCCAGACACAAACTCTACCAGATGCACCCACTCTCATATATGCTTTGGAGTGGAGAGCAAACCGCAGTAGCTCTACCTAGTCCCCAGCCTAGTTCAGAACATGCTGTTAAGCTGGAGGGCTCTTGGAGACAGAGGGGGAGGGGGAAAGGGCCAGAGCGAATGCTCAGAATTCAAGTATTCTGAAGAAGCAGGCCTAGACGGAAGACACAGGGCCAGAGGGCCAGATGGGCCTAAACAAGCTGTTCTGGCAGGGGAGCCCCAGGGGAGGAGAAACAAAGGAAATAGGGAAACAACATCTTAATAGATGCAGATTCCACTTAACAGGCGAGAGCTAAAAGCCTTGCTGAGATCTATAAGGAACAGATCATTTTGGGACCTTTAGCTAAGGGACAGAAGTAACCTGCCAGTGTATAGCAGTCTACCTTTCCACACACTGGCTTTCACTTTGCTAGCCCGGGATGTGAGAGGTGGGTGGTGGGAGGTGGCAGGGGTCTGAACAGAGGCACTTAAAGGTATCTGAGATTCCTGAGATTCTCCTTGGACACAGCTGTGCACTGTGTCCTTTTTCTCTGGCCACCTCCCCTCCACTGCACTCATGCCTAGAGACCCCCATGCCATCCTGGGAAGCCCTATCCGTGTCCCCTACTCTATAGAATACCCTTGGGCTCGCTCCATTCCGTTCTGGTCTCCAGCGTTCCGTCATTATGTTGCATCTAGCTACAGCTCCACAAGGCTCGGCTCCCTTTCTGCTGTGCTTCCGGGGATGGAACCAAGGACCTTGTGCATCCCAGGCAAGTGTTTTCCACTGAGATAGTTCCCCAGACTTGCCTTAGCATTTGATACTTGACTCTCTTTAAATTTTTGCCTTCTCTTTTGAAAATAAAGCCCAGGATTCACTGACCTGGGTTTTCCTAAAATGTAGCACAGGGGCTGGCACATACTGGGTGTTCAATAAATGGTAGTTGAGCACAGTTTAGCCCAGAGGAACATGGGAATGCATGTCCAGAGCTCCACTGGCACAGCACCATGCTCTCACACATTTCACTTACACACTCCTGAAGCCACCTACGCAAGGAGGCCCAGTGTAGAGACCAAAGGCAAAACCCAGGGGACAGGCAACAAGAAAAGTTTCGTTTTTTCAATAGTTTTGCACATGATGACTACTGCCCTCAGCAGTTGCGGTGTTCCTTCTGAACAAAGCAGTTATATGCTGAGTGGACCACCGTGGGCCCTGCCCTGCCCAGTGCACCAGTGATGAGCCACCCAACTCAGACTCAGACACAATCACAAGGCTTCAGTAACAAATTCTGAATTGTTCTCAACTTACAACAAAAATAAGAAAGGAGATTGTTTTTGCTTTAAGTGAAAGCTCTGACATGGATGACCTTCATGAGTTCCCTTCCCTCCTTTACCCACGAGCACTGACAACGAGGACATACTGGGACCATGAACTAAGAAGACTCTAATGTACACTCAAACCAGAGAAACTCCAGCCAAGAAAGTTAAGAGGAAACATCCTGACTTCGGATTTCTTGATGTCTCCCAACACCTTCCAGAGATAGTAAGGACACCACCATCTGGGTGCTGGCCTCACTGTTCTGAGGTGAGAGGAACTGAACACTGTTCCCAAAGTAAAACGCACACCAAAGATCACAACAAAACTCAAAATCAGAAACTATTTTCCACCAGGCGTTTCCCCTAGCTCGTCTGCGTGCACAAGAAGAGAATGAAAATGGGCATCTCAGAGAACATGCTCGCAAGGAACAACGGAGTGAGGAGACAACTATACAATGCTAGAAAGATCCACACAGCGGAGCTTGTGTATCCAGTGAAATAACTCTTCAAAAGTGAAGGAGAAATAAAGACTTCTTCAGACAAAGCCCTAGGGAGCTCCCCTATGGCAGATCTGCCCTGCCAGACACTAAAAGACCTTCAGGCAGAAGGAAAATTATTCAAGCAGGTCCACACACAACAAAATGCAAAATAAAATCTTTTTTCACATTCCTATTTGACACTGTTACTATTTTCTGGGACAAGGCCTCCCAGTAGTCCAGATGGCCTGAAACTCTCTGTGTAGACCAGGCTGGTCTCAATGTCACAGAGACCCACCTGCTCTGCCTCCTGAGTGCTGGGATTGAAGGCTTGTGCCACCATGACGGGCATTACTTTTATCATTTTTAATTATGGTATGTGTGTGTGGATGAGTGCCAGTGCCCGTGGAGGCCGGAACAGGGTATCAGAGCTTATAGCTCCTTGGAGCTGGAGTTACAAGTAGGCGGGTGTCAGTCGCCTGACCTGGGTGCTAGGAACTAAACTTGGGTTCTCTGACAGAGCAGTATAGTGCTCTGAATCCCTGAGCCATCTCTCCACCCCAGGTACCTACTTTAAATACCCTGTAAGTTAAAGGTGAAGAGAGAGGGCCAATGAGATGGCTCAGCAAGTAGAGGCAACTGCTGTCAAGACTGATGGCCTGAGTTTGACCCCTGACAGCCACCCCTGATCCGGTGGAAGGATAGAACTGACTCCATCAATTTGTCTTCTGACTTCTACACATGTGCCAGGAGACATGCGGTGCCCTCAAATAAATAAATGTTACAAAATTTTTAAGTAAAGATAAATAATCAATGGATAAAAGAAGAAAAAAAATCATCAAATGAAATCAGAAAATCCTTAGAAATTAAAGAGAAGCCGGGCATGGTGGCGCACACCTGTAGTCCCAGCACTCGGGAGGCAGAGGCAGGCGGATCTCTGTGAGTTCAAGGCCAGCCTGGTCTACAAAGTGGGGTGAAGGTGAAGTTCCAAGAACTGAGGAAGAAATCTGTATTAGAGCAACAAATGCTCCCATCAAAGAGAAGCCAAGCACATGTGAGCAAGTAAGGACGGAGACAGAGCTCCAGGGTGGCTGGGCTATACAGCAAGTCTGTCCCAGTCATCACCACCATCCCAATCAGGATGGGAAAAAATGAAATAGAGAAAAATCAATGAAATCAAAAGATCACAAGCTGGAGAGATGGCTCAGCAGTTAAGAGCACCCACGTCAGAAGGCTCACAAATGTACCTAACTCCAGCTCTGGGGGAATCCAACATGCCCCCTCTTCTATACTCCATAGGTACCCACATACCTGTGCATATACACAGGGACAGTTACACAAATAAATAAATTTAAATACAAATAAATTTTAAAACTTAAAAAAATTCTTGCTGGGCATGATAGTGCACAACTTTAGTCCCAGTAGAGGCAGGAGGATCTCTGTGAGTTCAAGGCCAGCCTGGTCTACATAGTGAGTTCTAGGCTGGCTGGGACTACAGGGAGATCTTGTCTCAAAAAAGACAAAAAAAAAAAAAAAAAAATCATTCTTTGAAAATACCCCCAAGAAAACTGACAAGCCTTTACTGAGACAGATTAAGAGAAAAAAAAATGTCAGTGGAGGGGCTGGAGAAATGGCTCAGGAGTGCTGTTCTTCCAAAGGACCTGGGTTCAATTCCCAGCACCCATGTGGCGGCTAACAACGCCTGTGGTGGTGAGTTCCAGGGGACTCTGAAGCCCTTTTCGGGTCTTTTTGAGACAGGGTCTCCCTGTAGCCCCAGCTGTCCTGGAACTCACTATGTAGACCAGACTGGCCTTGAACTCACAGAGATCCACCTGACTCTGCTTCCCAAGTGCTGGGGGTTAAAGGCATGCGCCACCACGCCCAGCTATTTTAATTTTTTTAAAAATTTATTATTTTTATTTTATGTGTATGTGTGTTGACTGCATGTAGGTAAGTGCACCCGTGTCATGCAATGCCCTCTGAGGACAGAAGCTGTCGGATCCCCTGGAACTGGAGTTTCGGACAGTTGTTAGCTGCCATGTGGGTGCTGGGATGCGAACCCAGGTCTTCTCCAAGAACAGTCAGTGTTCTTAACCGCTGAGCCATCTCTCCAGCCCAATAAATTTTTTTAAAAAAGAAATGTCACTGGACACACGATGACTGATGCACAGAGTATAATAAGTGGCAGGAGGGACAGGGCTGGGAACGGCATGACTGCAGTGTGCTTAGCAAACCCACAGCAGGGTCCCTCCCCAGAACTGCTAAATAAATAAATAAATACATGAGTATGATGTGTGCATCCACATCTGCCCCACAGAAATCCATTAAGTAGAGCCAGGAGACCTGAGTCAGGGGAGAGGAAGGAAGGGAGGGAAAAAAGGAGGAAGAACCTGTGCAGTGACACAATCTAAGACAGAAAACCCTAAAAACTGCACAAATAGAAACAGAAGACAGAACAAATGAATTCAGTCATATACCAAGATACAAAGTTAGCATTAAATTTTTTTTTCAAATTTATGCACTAAAGACAATCAATCTGAAAATCACATCAAAAAGAAGAAAATATTTACAAATTAACCAGAAGTGAAAGACTAACGCAAGGGAAGCTCCAGACGCTGAGGAGGGGAAGGAGGAGGGGTACACAGGCACGAAGTCCTGATCGGAGAACACTACTTGAAAATGTCTACATTACCCCCAGGCTTTGTGTGGATCTAATGTAATCACCATCAAAATCCCAATGATATTTCTGCAAAAGTAGAAAAAAATCATCCTAAAACTCACGTAGAATCTAGACGCGTCCATTATCAAAACAATCTTAAAGAAATGAAGCTGGGGACTTGTACAAAACTTACTCCAAAACTACAGTGTTGGTGTTGGCAGTGCAAGATGATGGGATGAAAGAAGGGAAAAGTTAAGACCAATGAACACTAAATGATGCTCAGCATCGCTGATCACTAGGGAGATGAGAACCAAAGTGGCCACGTCATAGGCCTCCCTCCCTACCACGAAAAGAAACAAAGTGACAAGTGTCAGTGAGGATATGGAGAAATTGGAATGATGTGCACTGCAGACAGACATGCGAAACGGCGCAGCCCAGGTGGAGAACAGCATGGCAGGAGAGGTGTCATGGACTGGCAGGAAGGTGTCACGGACTGGCAGGAAGGTGTCATGTAACCCAACAACTGTACTTCTTGCTCACTCTCAAAAGAGCTGAAAGAAGAAATGTTTATTCACCCACGTTCACAGCGATGAGTCCGGACAGCTAAAAGAGGGCACAACCCACAAGTATGGTCCGTGCAGACAATGGTGTCCAAGGAAGGAAGTTCTATAATGTGCTATGATGTGGATGAGCCTTAACACCATTAAACTAAGTGAATAAGTCACTCACAGAAAAGTTACTGCACAACTCCACTTCTATGAAGTACTTGGAATAGTTGCAGCTATGGGGCAGAAAGCAGAATGTGGTCCCACTGCCTGGGGAAGGAGGAAGTGGCTGTTTCACAGGTAGACAGCTCCAGTTCTACAAAATGAAAATTTACAAACATTGCTAGTGGTGACAGCTGCACGTTAGGAATCTGTTTGGTTCCACTGACCGATGCCTTACAGGTGGTTAACATGGTGAGATCTTATGTCATGCTTACCTTATTGCAAGAAAAAAAAAAAGAGATAAACATAAAACCATGAACAAAGAAGCTGGAGGCAGTATCCTAGTCTACACAGAAGAGATTTCAGATCAAGTAGAAGAGCCAAAGATAAGAAGAGGCATCCCATGTCACCAAGTCAATTCTTCAAGACACAGGAAACTTTAACATGTGGGTGTCTAACAACAAAGTGCAAAACCACATGAAGTAAAACTGATAGGACTAGAAAGAGAAACAGAAGCCCCTCTGCATAGCTGGAGCCTTCAACCCTGCCCCTTGCAAGCAGACACCACCAAGGAGCTGGATATATTGCACCCACAGGTTACTCAGCACATGCCCCTCCAGTTCACAGGGGTATTCACCAGACAGATCACATTCTGGGCCATAAACATACTTACAAAGCCAGAAAAGAAGCTACCAGACCTGAAGGGTGTAATTCTGTGGTAGGGTGCTTGCCTAGCATTCAATTAATTCATTTAATTTTGTGGTCCTGGCAAACTGAGCTGGGGGCCTTGTGCATCCAGGAAGTGTTCTACATTTTAATTTGTTCTCTAATATTTCACTAGAGTAATTTTTCTTCTGTAATTATTTCTTTGAATGTTTAAATAACTTACATCTATCTTAAATAAATCTATCATTGGTATAGGGCATTTGAAAAGAAAAACGGTAAGTGCTTTTAATCTTGTGAAAATTAAATTTTCATAGTATTCACATCCTGACATTTTACATACTAAATATTTACCCACAATGGCCAGAATGTGAATTACAAGAATTACAATCATCATGGCATCAAATCGCACAAGCAACAACTGATTTCACCGCAGCACAAACTCCTAAAAACCTCGAACAAAGCAAGCAAAGGACCAGCCCAAAAGCCTCGGAATGTGTGGCTGTTCACACACAGCCCTTGCCCCTCTGCCTCTTGGCTATACTCAGACACCACACTGAGCACTTCTGAGAAACCCCCAACAGAACTGAAGATGAGCTGCTGTCATCTTAGGACAGCTTGTGCTATTTCTAGGCGGTCCTTCATTCCAGCTACGCCTCCACAGTCTCAGGCAACAGGCTTTTCTCTGCCCAGCACGCTGGGCTCCTGAGGACTGAACATGTTTACAAGGCCCTTGTTTTCATGCTAAGGGTGCATTATCAGCAGATCAGATCCTACAGAGCCCAGACAATACCAGAAGATGTAAACTATGTTCCCAGTGGTTTTATTTATCCCAGTAAGGCAAGAGCCAGGTTGTGAGTAGGAAAGTAAACTCATATAAACTATTCTAGAGTTGACTCTACATTCTAGTTAGCTGAGTAAATAAACCACAACTTTTAAATATGTGTGTGACATTATCTATATATATCTGTAAAAGGTCAACATTACGAGTACTTGAGAGACTACAGTCAAAGCAAATGTCTGCAGACCGTCCAATTGGGAGCAGATGCCGCTCTGCACAAAGTTCAGTCATGACTGACATTCAGGCCCTTCCTGCCCTGGCTTACCTTACTATGCGTGAAGGGGGGCGCTGTATACAAAGTGGGGTGGATGAGTGGCCGAGGCAGGTGTGGGACTGTGTGCAAGGGCACATGTCCGTGGATGTGGGGGTACAGGTGCAGCGCGGGGTGTGTGGGCTTCTCTGGGCTCAGGAACTGATGGCCAGGAGGCAGGGCTCCTGCAGTCATTGCCGATGCTGGCAGCCCAGAAGCTTCCTGTTTACAAACATGACATTCACAAGTGTTCGGAGTTTGTTCAGCCTGAAAGGACAAAAAAAGACAAGAATCTGTTTAATGAAGAACGAAGAAAGATTCTGCTCTGAGCACCTATAGAGCAAATAAAAGGGAACAGGGCTCATCCTGGGCTGACCAGAGCCTCCGGTGTTGGGAAGGCAAAGACCTGAGCCAAGGAGAGCTGCAGAGAGGAGTGGGGCCTCACTTCCCAGATGGAGGTCTGCTATAGCAGCAACCACTGGTGAGGGACCAAGCTGAGCAGAAACAAGGAACCCGGTAATGACGGCCAAGGGACAGGTCTGGAGGTGGAGAGGCAGCAGTGCTGGGCTCCACTGCTCCGTCAGCAGCTGCACAGAAATTTCCACCATGGTGTGGATACAGGCTGCTGGTTAGGGTGGAACAAAGCAAAAGTCAAACTGAACACAACACTTGGGAGGCAGAGGTAGGAGATCTCTCTAAGTTCGAGGCCAGCCTGGTCTACACAGTGAGTTCCAGGTCATCTGGGCTACAGGGAAGGGAGACCAGGTCTCAAAGGACATAAACAAACAAACAAAAAAATTTAAAAGACCAAAAACCTGTGCTTTACAAAAGCCACCATAAAGAGCTAGTGGTGACCACTCCACAAAGGACATATCCAGACCTGGGAAAATAATGTAAACTAGACCTAATGGAGGACTTATACCCAAAACATAAAGAACTCATCTAAGACAGGAAGGAAATAGCCTCTAAGTACATGAAAGGACATTTAACCATGAGAATGAAATGAAAATCTAAAGCACAAGGTTCCCATTTCTCAGGTGCAACACCAGCAGAAATTCAAAATGCTGTTGCCAGTCTCTTCTGGAGCCTGAGTGCATTCTAACCCTGTACTCACTGCTAGGCCAGGTCTAAGGAGCCACCTGCTTATTATCACAGTAGTTTTTAGTGGTCAAAGGGGATAAACAGCACAAATGCTGGCCAAGAGGATTAAGGGAAAACAGAAACTAGACTCACAAAAGTGGGAAATGTGGTGAAGCTGACAGAGCATCAGGGAGAGTGCTTGGTACGCTTATCTACAGGCCTGAAGCCAAGGTGCAATCCCCAGTGGTCCAGAGGAGGAAAGGAAGGAAGCTGGTCCAGGGATATAGCACAGTGGTAGGGTGTTAGCCTACCGTGGGTGAGACATAAGAGTTGACAGTTCAATACTGAAATAAATAAATGAATAAAATTATACAGACTCTCTCAGATCCTAAACTATTTACATGCAGGTGTGGTGCTACATACCTGCAATCCCAGCACTTAAGAAGTGAAGGTAGTAAGATCAGGAGCTCAAGGCCAACCTCAGCTATATGGGACCTTGTCATACACGCCCCCACCCCAAACAAAACAAAACAACCAAAAACTAGAAACAAAAGGGAAGGAAGGACTGGAGAGATGGCTTAGCAGTGAACAGCAGACACTTTATAGGGGACCCAAGTTGGCTTCCCAGCACGCACATCAGGCAGTCCCTCAACCACCTTTAAGGACAGCTCCAGGGGGGCCCAGCATTTCTGGCTTCTGTGTGCATCTCCACGCATGTGCACATATTCACATGTACATGTAATTTAAAAAAAAAAACTGTGTGCGTGTGCGGCATGTGTGTGCGTGTGTTTTAAGACAGGGTCTCTCTGTAGCCCCAGCTGGGCTAGCCTGAAAATTGCTGTACAGGCCAGACTGCCTTCAATTCCACAGAAATCTGCCTGCTTCTGCCTCCCAAGCGGCCCTGCCATGATTGAAATGAAAGAAAGGAAGTGAGTAAACACACTCTTCAGAGACATTGTCTGCCAGGGTGAGCGCTCGGGAGAGCGAGGTGCAGGCCTACACATATTAGTATGCAGTCTTTCTTAGGAGCAAAGGAAAAACAGGTTATTTGTATTTACACATACAGCTGGTCATCTATGGGGCCCTCTAAGGCTGGGGACCCACAGCTGATGGGACAGGGAAGTAGAAAAGGGCAAGGCTTCTCAACGTGTACCTTTTATATCACATTTATTGTTATTCTACTTTTTATTATGTTGATTTTGTGTATGCCTATATTGCCTGCATGTTTGTAACTGCATCCATGTCATGCAATGCCTGCAGAGATCAGAAGAGGGTGTCAGATCCCCTGGAAGTGGAGTTATAGACGGTGTTGGGAACTGAACCTGGGTCCTCTGCAACAGCAGTCAGTGCTCTTAACCCACTAAGCTATCTCCAGCCCACATTTATTATTTTAGTCACATATTACATTACCTATTAAAACGACTGATTAGCTAAGTACCTGGAACCTTCATGCGTTCTCCTTTTCACTTAAGAACTGCTTACTGAACATATGAAACTAAAACGCTGGAAGCGTGTGGTGACGCACAATCCCAGCACTTGAGAAATTAAGGCAGGAGGATCATGAGTTCAAGGCCAGCCAACAGTTGTTATGAACCTACCTCCAAAAAAGCAAAACAAACAATACAGACAAATCCCACCCTGCTTCTACAGAGAAAATATAAAACACAGAAAATGAAATGAAATAATTCTCTGATACTTAAAATATCTAGAACAAACCTATATGAGGTCTTAACAAAAATCATGACAATTGCAGATTTCCACAAGAGAAACAATATTAAAATATGAGTTGTGCATTTTATGTTTGTCCAGCTGGGTATGGTGGTCCATGCCTGTAGTCCCAGCACTCGGGAGGCAGAGGCAGGCGGATCTCTGTGAGCTCAAGGCCAGCCTGGTCTACACAGTGAGTTCCAAGATAGCTGGGGCTACAGGGAGACCGTCTCAAAAAAACCAAAAAAAAAAAAAAACCACAAAAACAAAACAACAAAAAAGTATGTTTGTTTCTTCAATCTTCAGAAATTGCTGGAAACAAGAGTCATTTTGTATTTATGTTTATATTCACAGATTAAAATATACAACAGAGGACGAAACCCTCAGGAAATGGGAAATCTGAAGCATAAACCTACCTGCTGAGCTGGGTAAGAAGGGGGTGGAGCGTCCACTTTACTCTCCTCTGAACAGGGGATGCCATTTCCTAGGGCCTCATCTTCTTTAGGGGCCCCAGGGGGCTCCCCACTACTCTCTCCATCTGCCTCTTCATCATCAGCTTCTGAAGAGCTGCTACTGGTGCTGCTGACCTGAGGGGACTTTAAAGACAGCTTTCTGTAGTTATGCTTTTCCAAGGAGACTAACAGTTCAAAGATGACTCGTCGAGACCCCACATTATGTCACTCACGGACACTAGGAAGAAGCCACAGCCATACCTCATCTTTCAGGGCCATGTTCTCCCCACCACCGTTCAGCTCATTATGGATTCCATTCATGTTGGCCACCACACTGGTATCGTCGTAGTTGGTCAGTGGATAAATATCAGCAAACTTAGCTGACAGCGGTGCAATGTCCTCATCATCACTACAACTGAGGCAAGCAGAGATGTCATCATGAGGCCTTTGCCTGGGAGGACTGTGAGGAGCCCCTCACCACACACACCGAGCACAGCAGGGCCTCTAAATCATGAAAAGTATTAAGTGTCACTTGGGCGATGTAACACCTCTAGTCACCTGAACATAAGAAAATGCCTGGATGAGCAATATCTGTGGCACTGGGAAGGATGGAGGGAAGGATGAGAAAGAATGTTCGAAAGTAGAAACTGACATACACTTTTAATTTGCCTGAAATGCCCCAGAGTAAAACTGTCCTCTGCCTATCCAAGTAGACATAATTTTGCATTAAAATTATAGGGTACAGATAGCAACCCCAAGTCTTCACTTCACTGTCAAGTCACTGAACTGTCAGGAAATACCTAGTTGACCAAAACTCCAAATGTAGTTATGGAAGAAAACACTAAATTTTTTTTTGTCTTTTTGAGACAGGGTCTCCCTGTAGCCCCAGCCGTCCTGGAACTCATTATGGTAGACCAGGCTGGCCTCGAACTCACAGAGATCCGTCTGCCTCTGCCTCCCAAGTGCTGGGACTACAGGCGTGTGCCACCACGCCCGGCTAACAAAACACTAATTTTTTAAAACGAGTATTAGTCTGTTGAACTCAGTTATGATCTTCAGTTCAGCTTTAGAAGACACCAACGCAATGGAAAAACAGCATATTTAATAAAAAGAATGAAAAATCTTATGTTTTTAGCCTGTGGAGGTCACTGTAAAATGTAACCTCTTAGTCTGTGAGAAGAACGGTTGCAGATTAGGAACAGCCAGACTAGGCCACCTCAGCATTACTCAAAACTCAAGCAAGTTTGTTCTCTATCTTGGCATACAATGACCTCCAGAAGGTAAAAATCTTAAGGACCAGCGATCTCATCTCCTAGGAGAAGGACCAGGACTACCAAGCTTAGCTGACTGTCTTGTTTTCTAGAAGACAACCTGACACACTGTGTGGCAACCTGGAGTTAACCAAAGGAGAAGACAAGTGCCCAGCAGCCAGGGAGTATGTGCCATGGCAAACACATCTCTCCTGTAGCAGAGGTGCTGCCTTGGTGCACCCGGGGAAACGGTTCTGAAACAAAGTGACAAACCCTATCCTGGCATACACTTGACATATCCCAGGAAGACCCAGACTGCACCTCAGGGCAGGGACTGAGTTTTGTCTCACCAGTGTAAACAAAGCACCAGGAAAGATGGTGCAAACCAAGGACCCCACTGGGGGTCTTCAAGTCACAGTGCTGGACATTTGGAAGACACTCATCACAAGTAGTTGGGGGCATAGGAAGGGGAAATTACAGGCTGCCCAGACAGAAGTCCCCCTCCCAGCACCGTCACATAGGAATCCACAACTGATGCTGGCAGCTATGATGAAGAGTGGACTGCCTGGCAAGCCTGAGTTCCTCCCTTCATTTCCTCACAGGCTCATCTAGTTCTAGTTCCACACACTCTGTCAGAAGGTAGCTGACGGCTAGTCAAGAAACCCTCCAAACTCCTGCACCCCAAGAGCAGAGTTTTCAAGGCTACATGGCAGTGTGACATCTTTCAAATTCATGGAGTTGAGGACAGCCCTTCAGTTGCTTTGGGTTTGGGTCTGTGGCGAGGCTCAGTGGGACAGTGCTTGACCAGCATGTGTGAGGTCCTGGATACCACCCCCAGCACCATAAAATTATTATTTGGAGTTTGAGAATGAGTCCAAATTGAGAAGACTGAAGGCCAGAAAAATGAGAGCTACCAGGAGAGACCTCCATCAGCTGGGAGAATGTGAGGGCCATGAGCCATGGGCAGCAAGCCCTCATGTGTGGGCACCTCTGTAGGGTCCTGATAGTGCACGTCCAACAGAAACTTTATTTTACTCAAGGAATCACATACGTCTATGTGCATGTAAGTGTATGCATCCTGTGCAGACGTCTGAGCCTCAACACTGAAGAATTCTGTTAATAGTTAACTGCAATGTCAGCCGAAGAGAGCTCTGCAGTCCCAACTAACATGACATGTACGTCTAACAACATGGGAAACAGAAAACACAAACTGTCATTCGCTTGCTAAAGTGAATGTCTGAGTTCTTAGCAAGACATGGAGTGAGCACAAACACCAGGCAGGCAATGAGGGGATGAGCGGCGGCTGGCCACCTCAGCATGAGACATTTCCCTGCATACCAACTGGCACTCATAAATTTGTCATTATTTTAGGTAATGAAATAGTATTAAAGTTTGGGTTTTACTGATTTCATGTCTTAACAAATGTTACAAATAGTGAAAGGTCTTTTTTTATAAAAAGCACTGTAATGGGGTTCATACTTCTGTAGACATTACTGTCTGTGTTTCTCATTAATGGATAATTTTCTGACACTTCAATACAAAGTCACAACTTACAAAGTTGGTGCAGAGCCATTGTCTGTGAGGATGAGTCTGGGATGTTGCTGAACTGTGATGGGAGAGCTGGAACCTGACCCTGAGCTTGCTGATGACACACTAGGTGGGCGCATCTCAGAGAGATAGTCGGGAGCAGAATCCACTTGGAGTGGTAGTTGGTGAATGTGGATGTCGTCAGTGACGGGGGGGTCCATGATACCACAAGTGAGGATGTGTGAGAGGCTGCAGTCATCACAAGCACATCTGATTGGGAATTAAGGACAGTTACCAAGAAAGCCAGCACAGAGGGTCACCACGTACTCTGAAGGCTGGGTCCAAACCTCTGCCTGCTTCAGAGAGGGCTGAGGCAGCAGCACCCAAGACAGCCCAGCTCACCTTCTCCTGTAGGTGCAGTTCGGGCAGTCAGGCATGCTCAGCCGGGATGATAACATGTGCCTCATGGTATCTGTGAAGTTGTTCTCACCAGTAACCGCTTTCTTATTAGTTAACTAGAAGAAATTAAACAACAGCCTAATATTATAAGACATTTCACATACTTCATGGACCATACTTTTAATTATGGTAAGTATCATGTTCACTTATAAGCTGATGGGCCGACTTTCCACAGGTGGATAAGACCAGGGAACAGGGCACTAGCCCTGGACTCTGTAGCCAGGACCCAGGCATATAAAGCACGAGGCATCAGGAACCCCCTAAATGTTTTGGTTTCTAGCAGATTGCTGGGGAGGGTGGGCTGTTGTAGACACTGACTTTTACTGCTTCTGCTTTTGTGTGCTCAGTACTTGCTAGGTACCAGAAACACAGATGGGGTATGACGGAGAAGGGCTGGACCTGAGAGATGTATACGAAGCAGCCCAAATTCCCAACCAGCAAGTAGACGTGTGGATTTCAAAGAGGATGGAGGCTGGACCAGCTTTGGCAATGGGACAGGAAGGAGGAGTCAGATCCAGTCTCCCAGCAGCCACTGTGAAGACATGGCCCTGAAACTACTGGGGAAGCCAGACCTAACCCAACCCCGTGACTTCACTACGCAACAGCCTCCTAAGTGTGAACTAGACAGGGCACCACTGGTACTGTGGGAGAGTATCAGTAAAATTTCCGGATGCTGCACACTAAAGGTTGCCACTTGGTGAACATGGGTTTTCTTAAGGAGCATATGGAAGATTAAGAAATGGATAGCCGGCTGGGGCGTGGTGGCACACGCCTTTAATTTTAGGCAGGTGGATCTCTGTGAGTTGGAGGCCAGCCTGGTCTACATAGTGAGTTCCAGTTTGTACTTTGAACTTTGTGTAGACAGAAATTGAACACACCAAGCATGAAGCAAGGCATTGGAGCCTGCGTTCCAATATGTATCGCTCAGTGTAGGCTAGCCTAATCATGCTCAGAAGACTTTACATTAGGCTATGGCTGAGCAAAACCACCTGACAGAGCCAGGTGTGATGATGCATCCCTTTAGTCCCAGCACTAGGGAGGTAGAGACAAGTGGATCTCTGTGAGTTCAAGGCCAGCCTGGTCTACATAGTAAGTTCCAGGCCAGCGGGGCTACAGGAAGACCCTGTCTCAAAAAGACCAAAAAAGAAAGAAAGAAATGGATAAAAGTAGCCAGCCAGTTTACCTGGAGGTTAAAAGCACTGTCTTAATAGCTTTAACACCGGCAGAAGATGCCAATGGTCTTCAACAGCACCCTGCAATACAGAGCACACCTAGGTGCAAAGATGCCCAGTACTCGGTGCAAAGTGGTTTACACCTTAACTGCCTCTGTCAACAATCTTACCTGTTCTTCAATGAATCGTCTCTGCTTAAAGATCTCCCAGTCTTCCGTTAACATATGCTGCTTGGTTTTCACGGTCATCTAGAAAGGAGATATGCAGACACTCAAAAAGCTTTACTAACAGCTACACAGACATTCTCAAGGGAGACTCTTTCAAATGATAAATATATACAAAGAAGCTGGGCATGGTGGCGCATGCCTTAGCCCCAGCACTTGGGAGGTAGAGGCAGATGGATCTCCATGAGATGCCTGGTCTACACAATGAGTTCCAGGCCATTTAGAGCTACACAGAGATTCTGTCTTAAGAAAAAGAAAAAAGAAAACCAATAAAACAAATCAACAAAATATTACCTGTGAAGAAAACAGAGGCACAACACAACATTACGAGGTATTCCATTTCAATTTCTTATTCAGTTTACTAGAAATAGTAAGTACTTTTCAAGCATGAGAACAGGCCCTCAGGGACTACCCACCATAGAGAGCAGGGCGTTTCCTGTGCAGAGTGAGGCAAGTACTTGCTCTCATGAGTGTGCCTGGTGGGGACTCCTGGAGCTGGTTTGTTCCACCTACATACATGAGCTTCCTAGACCTGGGCACATGAGCCTATGACCCTTCATCTACATGTAATTTCTGCAGAGAAGGGTAGTGGGGTTGGGACAATGGGACTGGAGCAGCAGAGACCTGAAACCGAGTGCAGGGTATGACGAGCAGCGAAAGGAAGGGAGCCACACCTTGTCCCCCCGAAACAATCAGCCTCCCAGCTGTGATGTGGGTTCTAGTGTATCTTCTGAGTCATAAAATTGATTCCTCAGCAGTTAAGAGCACTGGCTGCTCTTGCAGAGCACCCAGGTTCAATTCCTAGCACCCACATGACAGCTAACAACTGTCTGTAACTCCAGTTCTAGGAGATTCAATATTCCCTTCTGACCCCCAAAGGCATCTGCACTCATGTGCACATACCCATCAAGCCTCTCTGTGAGGGTCCTTGGAGTATCTTGTAGCTCCTGATGACCCCAGGCTCCTGGTCTCATAGGATTGCACCCTTCCAGTCTCCTCTCAAGCCATCTTGCTATACCATTTAATTAAGAGCTCTTAGACTATGCCAAGCGTGGTGGCTCAGCTTGTGGGCCAAGCACTTGGGAAATTCAGGCAGGAAAACCCATTCAAAACCAGCCTCTGCTGCATTACTTGCTCTGGGCCTGCCTAGGCTTCGTAAGACCCTGTCTATATTGTGGATGTAGGTATGTACATACACATGCCACAGTGCACACGTGAAGGCCAGAGGACAACTTATAGGAACCAATTCTTTCGTTCCACTTTGTGAGTCACCAGGATCAAACAGGTGATCAGGCTTTCCAACAAACACCTTTACTCACTGAGCCATCCCAGTGTTCCCTTTTTTTGAGACAGGGTCTCCCTGTAGCCCCAGCTGGCCTGGAACTCACTATGTACACCAGGCTGGACCTGAACTCACAGAGATCTACCTGCCTCTGCCTCCAAGTGCTGGGACTAAAGGCGTGCGCCACCACACCCTGCTACATATATTTTATTTTTATTATATGTATATAATATATATATATATATATATATATGCCATGCTGACATCTTCCTTTACTTTGTCTTCTAGAACTGTGACAAAATTAATTTCCTAGGTTGCCACCCTGCCCCCACCTTCCCCTAGTGACTCTGTGAATGCTAAGAGAGTTCAATGTCCTGCTTTGCATCACGAAACCCTGCTTTCTCACGACTCCCCAGGGGCAGAGGGAGAAGAGAAATGCATCTTCTGGCTGCTGTAGTGGAAGGTGGTGTCTCTCTCTTTTGGAAAAAATGTGTGGAACACAATACTTTTAAAACCTCAGTTCCAGCTTCATTTCTTGTTACCCGCCCCCACCCCTTCTAAACAAAACCGGTTTTTTCTGGAGAGGGAATATGCATTGTGGTGGTTTGAATGAACGTCCCCCATAAGCTCCAAATACTGGCACACTTGGTCCCCAGTTTGTGGCACTGTTTGGGGAGGGTTATGGAACCTTTAGGTATGGCCATGCTGGAGGAAGCACATCACTGGGAGTGAGCTTTCAGAGTTCTAAAAGCTTGCCATGTTTCCAGGCTCACCCTGCTTGCTGGACCTACCTGGAGTCATTGTGAGTGCTCAGTTTTCTGCTCTGGCCACCTCCTGTCACACCTCCCTGGCCATTATGGACTTTTAATCCCTCTGGAATTGTAAGCCAAATAAATGCTTCCTTCTTTGTTACCTAGGTCATGGTGTTTTATCACAGCAACAGAAAACTAATACAAACATATTCATATATTTTTTTAATTTTATGTATTATTTTCTGTATATGAGTGCATTGCTTACGTGTATGTAAGTGCAACAGTACTGGGCAATGCCCGAGGAGGTCAGAAGAGGGTGTTGGAGCCCCTGGAACTGGAGCTATGGGCAGTTGTTAGTTGCCATGTGGATGCTGGGAATCAAACCTGGGTCCTCTCTCTGGAAGAGCAGTCAGTGCTCTTAACCACCAAGCCATCTCTCCAGCCTGCATATAGCTATTTTTAGACACATGCCATTTCTACTAGGACAGCAGCGACAGCAGTGCACATCACATTTCTAAATTAATCAAAGCACAGGTAACAAACACTATGCCCACAGACGCCTGTCTTATCAAGGAAGGAGCTGTGCTGTCCTAAGGGCTGTCCTGGGTTACTTTTCTCTTCAGTCACTCAATTTCTTGGAGCTAGAATCGCATCTACTCAAGGTATAAAAAAGGTGATCGCATAGGCTCCTTAGGGACAGGATTGGGGGCAAGAAACTGAGGCTGAGGCCCTGGAGAGCAGGAACAGGTGCTTTTCACAGTGCTCGTCAAATGCTCAGCAAGGCCCACTTACAGGTTATTTACCACTGCAGATGCTTATGTTGACACACCAGGAGGGAAGGTCCGGCATAAATCAGGATGCCTAGCCTAACGCCAAATGTAGGGTAAGCAGCAGCTAGTGGTTCCATTCAGACAGGCCTCCAGCCTTTGCAGGAGGCCAATCTGCTCTGCTGCACATTGGGATGGCAAGGTCTAAACACCTGCAGTCCTCTATCTGGTCTGCATGTTGGCTGGCAGACAAGTGCCTCCCTAGAACATGTTCTGCAAACCCTTAACAAGCACTTGGCAATTCCACTGTCAGGGATTGACCAGGTCCCTTGAACGACCCCTCAGTGGAGTACAGCACCAACAAGCATACCTCAGACACCTGTTGACTCACTTTTGCACATTCCCCATTCCAGGAACTAAGTAGTCTCCAGGCTGAGGTGAACTCTTCTCTCCTGAGTCCCTCCTAAGACCCAAAGATGCAGCAACTTCTCAGGCACCACCCAACTGCCACCAGGATTGTGGGGCCAACAGCAAACACCAGCTGGTACCGAATGGGCAACCTGTCGGCAGCTGTCCCCAGGGCAGGTTCACATCCACTCTGCATAAGGGGACTGTGTATGGCTGGCTAAAGCCTGGCGTGCAGCACACTGAATCCCTCCTACCATAGTCTACAGCCACGATGAAAGGCAAATCTAGATGGTATGGGGGTAGGGCTTACAGAGACAAAGAGCTGTCCTATGTGCATGTACCATCAGTATACAGGGGAGGCTGCAGCACTGCTTTCCTATGACATTTTCTTGTAATTCTGAGGCACCTCTGGGCTTAGGACCCTTCCACGTAGTTTGTGATCTTCACAGCCTGCAATGGTCCAAGAGCAACAGCACTCTTCTCTGCTCCCACCACAGCTCGACATTATGCCCCTCCAACCCATGTCCTTCTAGCTACTATTCACTTGAGCCCTGATGACAAGAGTTTGCCAGACGGAGGCTGGTGTTTGGTGCTACCGTTTGGTTCTTGACTATCCACCAAAGGCCTGTGTGTTGAAGGCATGATCCTTGGCCCATGAAGCCAACTGGAATTTGGTGAGACCTTCAGGAGGTGGTTCCTAGTGGTAGGTCACTGGGGGCATGCCCTTGAAGTGCATACTGGGACCTGGGCCCCTTTCTGTTGCAGATTCCCTGAGCCATGAGGTGGATGGACCTTCTCTCCACCATGATGTCCAGCCATATGCTGTGCTACCAGAAGTGCACAGCAACAGTCAAGGGATCAGACTGTAGTCTCTGGTACGAGTCACACAAACTTCTCTTCCTCCTAAACCGATTATCTTAGCTGGGCATGGTGGCGCAGGACTGTATTAGCAGCACTCAGGAAACAGAGGCAGGAGGATCATAAGTTTAAGGCTAGCATGGGCTATGGAGTGAGACCTTGTCACAAACCAACAACACAGATTGATTACTTCAAGTGTTCTCTCATAGTGATGGGAAACTGAGTAACATCCGATCTTTTTCCTTTGTCCTTTCAGAGTGCTAATGACCCCAAAGCCTAGTAATCAGAGTCCTTACCTCTTCTTCCTGACCTTGGTACCCTCAATACATTGTCATGCTTGGCTGCCACAGCTCTGTGGAGAGCTGTCCACAGTGCAGTTCACAATGAACTATTTACTGCAGTATGTTTTTTCCCCTCTAAAACAACATTAAAAACAAACAATTTAGGGCCAAGTGTGGTAACACACGTCTTTAATCCCAGTGCTCAGGAGGCAGTGCTGGCAGATCTCTGTAAGTTTCAGGCCAGCCAGCCAAGCTACATTGTGAGACCCTGTCTAAAGACAAACTGACAAGGGGCTAGAGAGATGGTTCAGAGGTTAAGAGGCCTTGGTGCTCTTACAAAGGACCTGGGTTTGGTTCCCAGTACCCTCATTGTGGCTCAAAACCATCTCTAACTTCAGTTTCAGGGGATCAAATGCCCTCCACGGGTACCAGGCACTCACATGGCACCCACACATATGTGCAGGCAAATACCCATAAAAACAAATTTAACCTTTTTTTAAAAACCCAAACTATTTAGAATTATAAGGCATAAAAGCTCCTATCATGATAATATGTACACCTAAACATCATATATGAAATTCTCTCATTACCAAGGTGAGAAGCTCGGCTTTGAGTCGACTGTCAGGATCCTTCACAGGATCCCAGAAGGCAGATCCTTGGGAAGAGGCTGGCCTGGGTTCTGGCCTCCCTCTCTCCCCTACCAGGACCCAGATCTCTCTGCTGACACAATAGCAGGATGAGAAAGCAGACTCCACAGAGGATGGGCAGCGCTGGCACTTTCTCTGTGGCTGCCTCTGCTCAACTGGGCTGCCAGCTACCTGGAGGTTCAGAACCAGATTCGTAAGGATGTAGAGGGGCTGTTATAGCTGAGGTCCTGCCTATCAGCCTGGCCAGTCTCACCCCTCCCCCAGTCCATAGGCAGAGCCCTGAAACTACCTGCCCTGCTCCAGGGTCAGTCTCCCAAACTCAGATCTGTTGTGCAGCTCAGATACAGCCCTGCTCCCACACAGCCACAGCCAAGGAGTTCTGGCTGTGATAAGCCATAGTTGGAGGTTAAGTCCCTGATTATATGACTAGACAAAAACACAACTTAGGGATACATCCACTCAGAAGAAGGCATAAAGCACAACCGCTTTCCCAGTATGGTCAGCAGTCACACCTGGTGGAAGGGCTCGGAGAGACAAGTGACCCTGACCCCGGAGCCCACAGGCACTGCACAATTACTGTGCAGGGGCCAAGGAATTATAAGACTGCTAGGGCCATTGGCCCTGTGACATAGTGAACTCCCCAACAAAGGTGGGACATGGGAGTTCAAGGCAGTACAAGCAGAGATTCTTCCAAGTTCTGAACAAGAGACCATGTGTTACCACAGCCATAGCCTCAGTGAGACCCCATGACAGTGATGACAAAGTCAGGGAAATGCTTCACAGAACAGCAAGCACGTGCTAGTCCTCTTCTTTCCTACCACTCAGCAGCAGACAGGAAGACTAACATAAGGCTCGACAGCATCCAGACGGCACCAATGATCTTGGGATGATGTGGGCCCAGCATGTACCTCAATTTGGTAACTGCTACTCTCGTCTGTCTACAAACAGCCCTGTGTGCGGACTTAGCTGCCGTTTCGCCTGTGCTCGCTGTCACGAGGACCTATACAACACTTGGGCCCACTCAGATGCCTTTCCTGCTTGGCCTTACCAGGGGCTCTAGAAAGGCGGAAGCTGGGTTGGAGAGCAGGGGACAGCACCTCAACCACCTGCCTGGTACCCCTCAGGGCAGCGGCCATCTGGTGCGCCCTCCTTCAGGTCACCTCCAGTGCATGTTTCACTTCTCCGAGCTGCTGTCCATGAGCTGCATGTGGTTGTATTCTCCACTGGAAAGGTCTGGACGGACGGAGAATGGGTTCTCAACAGCACCATGTTTGGCAAAAGGCCCCTGGAACTGAAAGGCCCAGTAGCTTCCCAAGGTTGCCCACTAGGCCACTGAAACAGTGGGGTGACCCTGCTGAGGTCCTAGTTGTTGTCACCACATTGCAAGAATAGCCAGGTCAGGGGCTGGAGAGATGGCTCAGCAGTTAGGAGCACTGGCTGCTCTTATAGAGGACTCAGGTTCAATTCCCAGCACCCACACAGTGGCCAACAACCGTTTGTAACTCCAGTTCCAGGGGATCTGATGCCTTCTAACCTCTGAGAGCATTACCTAACACGGGTGTACTTATATACATGCAGGCAATATACTTGCACACATAAAATAAAAATAGTAAATATTGCCAGACATGGTGGCACACGCCTTTAGTCCCAGCACTTGGGAGGCAGAGGCAGGCGGATCTCTGTGAGTTCAAGGCCAGGCGGGTCTACATAGTGAGTTCCAGGGCAGCTGGGGCTACAGGGAAACCCTGTCCCTAAAAAACCAAAAAAAAAAAAAAAAAGTAAATATTAAAAAAAAAAAAAATTAGCCGGGTCAAGAGGTCTCTGGTGCTGCGTGGTTTCTATCTTTGCTAGGAACCCCACACCTTAGGCTGTAAGTGCAGGCTGTGCCTCGGGGGGCAGCACTCACCTGTTCATCCACATAGGCATCGATCCTCTTCTGACACTCCAGCCACTCCTCGGCAACTCTGCGTAGCTCTTCCTCAGAGCGCTGGTACCGCTGCAGCAATGTGCTGTACGTGTCCTCATTGCAGGTGTCATGTGTGGTGGTTCCTAGCCTAGGAGGTAGAAGGCCTGTCACCAAGGAGGGGCCTAGAACTCCCAGCCAGATTCCACACACAAAACACCCTGAACAGATCTCACATAAAGGAGACCTTCAAGCCAGGCGTGGTGGCACATGACTTCAATCCCAACACTCAGGAAGCAAAGGCAAGTGGATCTCTGTGAGATTCGGGCCAGTCTGGTCTACATAGAGAGTTCCAGGACAGCTGGGGCTACAGGGAGACCCTGGGTGAAAAAAAAAACAAAGGGTGGCAGTGGGCGGGGATATGCTTGAAGAAAGGACAGCTCTGAACGGCATTCTGAAACACAGAGGCTACTACACATGGGGGGCTGTGTACACATTTCCTTACTGGCATACACTGACCAGAGAAAACACTTAATGACAAATACACATGCACTTAAAATGTTAACAATTCACTCACATGAACATTAAATATGTTCATGGTAAGAAAAGGTATGACTGAAGCATGTTTAAGAATGTGTTGTGTGTAGACACAGGAAAAATATGTGTAGGAATATCAAGTTGTTCACAGTACCTACCACTTCATGATTTTATCTGTGATAGTCCAGTAATTTAATAACGTAAAGAAACAACAAAATTATTTTTAAAAATAATTTATTTTTATTTCATGTCTAGGAGTGTTGTGCCTGCGTATGTGTAAGGATATCCATGTCATGCAGTGCCTGTAATGGACAGAAGAGGGCGTTAGATACTCTGGAACTGGTTGTTAGCCACCATGTGGATGCTGGGATTCAAACCCAGGTCCTCTGCAAGAACAGCCAGTGCTCTTAACTGCTAAGCCATCTCTCCAGCCCAATAAAATAATTTTTTTTAAACAAAATTTTGCCATAGGTCGAAAAAGTCGGAAATGGCCGCTGAAATCTTTTCCCTTCACTGTCTCTCCTCTGGGGTGGAGTGAACTTGTGAACATAGTAAAAATGGAGGATTCAAAGCAAATCTGGTTGCAAGGCTATGTACATGGGTGTCCATCTGGGTTCTGAACCAAAGCCTGGTTCAGAGCCCAAGGATAGCTGCCTCATGTTATGCTACAGCTTGAAACAAAGGTTCTCTCCTGATCCTCACTGCTGCCGGCTTTGACCTTCACCTGACTGCTACTCTTCCTGTAAGAGCCAATCCCCAGGTAACGTCATCCTGCTCCGCTTTCCAAGTGCTCTTCCTTCCATTCCTGTATCTTTCAAGTTACAGGCACGGATTATTCAAGCCAAGCAGAGTGGTGCAGAGGGGGGCCCTGCAGAGAACTTTGGTGGTGGGATGGGGCCACCGGAACCATGTGCACACAGCACCTCTACAGAACAAATGGTTGGTTCCTTAATAGTTAAGTTGCCAGGGAAATGTGGTGAGGCTAGTGCAGGTGGAACCAGAGTTAAAGACTTTCACAAGACATGCGGGGTCAAGAATGAGAAAATAGGAGCTGTTTGGTAGTTACAGAGATTTTGTTTGGAGAGATGAAAAAATTGTGAAAATTTTCCAGGTGTGGTGGCACATGCCTTTAATTTCAGCACTTGCAAGGGAGGGGTAGACAGATCTCTATGAGTTCAAGGTCAGCCTGGCCTACAAAATGAATTTCAGACCAGCTAGAGCTACATAGTGAGTCCTGTCTCAGAAAAAAAAGGGACATTTACAAGCTAGGCATGGTGGCGCAAGCCTTTAATCCCATCAGAGGCAGGTGGAGCTGTGAGATCAAGGTCAGTCTGGTCCACATAGAAAGTTCCAGGCCAGCTGTGGGTACAGGAGACTCTGTCTCAAAATACTAAAAACAAACAAAAAAACCAAACTAAATATATTTATTTAAAAAAAATTAGTATGTCAAAGGCACTAAGCTGTAATTTTAAGTAGGTGGTGAACTGTAAAGATTACGGATCAGAGCTCGATGGAATAAATGGCTTTCTTATTAAAACCTGTTATGGTTTCAGTATGAAATGACTACCAGGCCGGGCATGGTAGCAATGCCTTTAAAAGAGGCAGGCGGATCTCTGTGAGTTCAAGGCCAGCCTGGTCTACATAGTGAGTTCCAACCCAGCTGGGGCTACAGGGAGACCCTGTCTCAAAAAGACCAGAAAAAAAAAAAGAAAAGAAAAAAAAAAAAAAAAAAAAATAAAAAAAAAAAAAAAAAAAAAAAAAAAAAAAAAAAAAAAAAAAAAAGGTCTCCTAAAGGCTCCTGTGTTGGTCCCCAAAGCAGCAATATTCAGAGACAGGCTTTGGGGATTACTGGATCATGAGGACTCTGACCTATCAAGGGGTTAATCTACAGCTTAAGGGGCTATTGGGACTGGAAACTTGAGGTGGTGCCTTGTAGGAAGGACATGGTCACTCTAGTTCTCTTATCTCTGACTCCTTTCTCTTTCTCTTTCTGCTCCCAGCTCCCATGAGGTAAGCAGCTTTCCTCTGCCAAGTACTTCTATCCTGGTGGACTAATTCTTCTGAACCGATAAGCCAGAGCAAACCTTTCCTCCTTGTAAGTTATCATCTCAGGCATTTTGTCCACGATACACAGCTAACAGAAAGAAGCTAAATCACTTCATATGAGTAAGGATGTCCTTCGGGTAGATTACTGGCCTGATGTACATGTGTACACATCCAGAGCAGGATGTTGGTTGTCTTTATCACTTCCAAGACAAGGTCTCTCCCTGAACCTGGAGCTCAGTGATTTAGCTATACTGGCTAGCCAGTGACCTCTCAAGTCTGAGCCTACCCCACAGTGCTGGGGGATGAGAGGTACATACAGTCATGCCTAGCTTCTTATTGGGTTCTGGGGACATGAGCTGGGTTCTCTTGCTTGAAGAGCAAGTGCTCTTAGTCACTGAACCATCTCCCTAGTTCCTGTCTGTTTTTAAGACAGGAGCTCCCCATGTCGCCCTGACTACCCTAGAAGTCAGTTATTATGCAGAGCAAGGCAGGCCTCTAATTCATGGTAATAAGTACAATACAATAAAGACACATCAAGTAAAGACCATGCATGGAAATGTGCAGAGAATCAGGAGCTTAGTGACAATTCTGGGGGGTGGCAGCTTGAAGTGGCTAACCTGGGTGCTGGCCACAGGATGCTTGTCTTCTCACAACCCACTAAGTGATGAGGAGGTATGGTCTGCACAGTTCATATCTAGATTTTTACTTTGTATCTTTTTAAAAAGTTAAACAGGTCTACTACAATGATGTATTTCATTAGTGCTTTGTATACAATTTGTAGCAAAATGTTTCATGAGCTGTTAAATGTGTATCTGTATAGTAGGAATTCCAGTATGAACCATTCTTGGGTTTGACAAGTGAGTCTGTGGTGGAACATGAAGGGGCATCTTTTTCTGGAATAACTGGCACTCCTCGAAGGACATCCTCTTCACTGTCCCTCTTGGGACTTGAGAGGCATACTGAGAGAACCCAAATGAACATTCAGGACCAGGATCAGCTGACTGCAGTTCCCAATGAGAAACAAACATGTTCAGACCTCGAGCACAAGAAATAAATGCAATTTTATAATGCCTGTTGGGTTTCTGTCAGCCCCACCATGCTAGATGACAGACTATCAAATCCAATATTCACCAGAACAAGAAACCAAAGGGCAGACACTAAGACCTGCTCGTACCCAGCAGGATGCACAGGTAAATGTGAGCCTCACAATGTACCCTCTGAGAACATACTAGATGTAAGAAACATTAAACATTAGTCTTTTCTTTCAAACCCTATAAAACTTGGAACCTGGTTTATAACAAGGAATTCTAATCTTTTTTTTTCAATTTTTATTTCTTTTTTTATGTGTATGAGTGTATTGCCTGCATGTATGTAAGTGCACCCGTGCCAGGCAATGCCCTTGGAGGTCAGAAGAGGGCATTAGATTCCTCTAGAACTGGAGTTATAGAGAGTTGTTAGCTGCCATGTGAGTGCTGGGAATCGGAATCTGCGTCCTCTTCTCTCCAGGCCCAGATTTCTAATCTTTTAATTCCATTATACACCCTGTCAGACTTTTGTTTAAGGAAAGGCCCTGAGGCATTCCTGAGCTTGATGGCCTGGGGCACTGGAGCTCTTCTCCCTTCCCACTGATTATTATTTTTTTTTGGGGGGGGGTGTCTTTTTGAGCCAGGGTCTCCCTGTAGCCCCAGCTGGCCTGGAACTCACTATGTAGACCAGACTGGCCTTGAACTCACAGAGATCCACCTGATTCTTTTAAACTAGCCAACTAGGAAAGACTGAGGTCAGGGACCTCACCAATGGGAACAGACACAATCCTCCTGCGTAAGAGATAAAAACCACCCAAACTTGTGGGTCTTGTGTGTGCTTGCTAGATATGACTGACCACACGAGACACCTTTTTATGAAAGCAAAATCTGCTTTGCTGAGTTACTTTCACTTTTGGTTTGTCTGTGGGGTTTTTTTTTAATTCTTAAAAAATATTTTATTATTTTTATGTGTATGAGTGTATTGCCTGTGGTACCCGGGTCCTCTGCAAAAGCAGTCAGTGCTCTTAACCACTAAGCCATCTCTCCAAACACCTCTTTTTTTTTTTTTTAAACATTTTATTATTTTATTTTAGGTATTTGGCTGTATGTATATGGGCACTCTTGTCGTGCAATGCCTGTGGAAGTCAGAAAAGGGTGTTGGATCCCCTGGAACTAGAGCTACAGGCAACTGTTAGCTGCCATGTGGGTGCTGGGAATCGATCCCAGGTCCTCTGCAATAACAGTCAGTGCTCTTAACTGCTGGGCCATATCTCCAGCCCTGGATTTTATTTCTAACATGGATAATTTAATTTTTTAAAATTACATTTATTTGTCTCTATATATGTGCATGTGTGTCAGAGAGCGACAGAGACACAGAGAGAGACAAAGACATGGGATTGGGGGGCACACATAGCCATCGTAAATAGGCGGAAGTCAGAAGACGATGTGCAGGAGTCAGTTCTCTCCTTCCATCATGTGGGTCTTGGGAACCAAACACAGGCTGCCAGACTTCGTGGCAAGTGCCTTTATCTGCTGAGCCATCTCACTGGTCCTGCACTGAATGTTTTCACACCTGGAGAGAGGGGCTGGGAAGCATCCTGAGGCTGAGGGAAACCTGCCAGAAGCACACCACTTCGCATGGCACCTTGTCCTGATCGCCTCTGCTGGCCCAAGTCCCTCTGACCAATGGCTTCTGAGGTTGTTCTTTCTCCAGAGGTGAGACTGTGTTCTAGCTACTGTCTACCAAGGCCAAAAAAAGGTGGCTGCAGTGGGGGTGTGTCCACACTGTGGGACTATACTTCTATGTTAACAGATGAGGAACACAATCATGAGCCCAAGACGCTGAAGTAACTCACAGCCACTCAGCACTGTTGACTGATGGCAGATAGAGGAGGAAGGGCTGTGGGGAAAACTCAGGACCAGACTGCATGCCCTTGTTTACACCAGTTCATACCCATCGTAGGCCCACCAGTGAGTGACCAGTGAGCTCTGCACTTGGACACTGGTTTTGGTGACAGCAGAGGATCCAATTTTCCTAATGAGAAGTCTGGACTAAGACAAACCCAAGGGCAGACAGCCAATGCACATCTACACATACACCCAGCATGCTGAGACCTGTGCTCTTCCTCCTCCACCTCCTCTGCACTCCCATGAGCATAGCCCAAATCCTGCCAGGTCTCCTGGCTGAGCTGAGGCCCGTCAAGGAAAAGCACCATTTGCTAGAGCCTTTCTATATTTTTGAGAAATTATGGTGTTAAATCTTCATAACATTTACATCGGTGCAGTATTTAAAAGTTCACTACTTCTTAGGTTAGAGTTTTCTACCCAACTATATTCCCTAGGTCCTGCTATTTTTCCTGTAATAACTTCTACATATGGTGGTCTACAGGCACAGGTGCGCGCGTGCACACACACACGCACACATGTCACAGGAAAAGAGTGTGCTGCACCTCAGGACATACACAGGGCAAGACAAAATACCTGATTACCTGATTTGTGACACCAGTGCAGGCAAGTTGCTCTGGAGAAGAGGCTCTGAAAAGACCAGATTTTCAAACAGGTGTTTATTATGCAGTTCCCATGTCACCTGGAACTTTTTCAAGTGTTCATTTTCCTAGTTTAATAACAACAACAAAAAAAAGATACACAGAAGTTGTAGTGAGTTGATGGAGTCATCAAACTTACCAGAAGACCCCCCGCCCCGCCCCCCATGTCCTGCCACCTTCTGCATAGGCCTGGACCATCCTGCTCTTGAGACCCTGCTCTCTGCCAGGGTCAAAACACATACCATATCAGATCTCTGACTAGAGCAGCACAGGTGTCCACCTCACTGCCTCACTGTGATCCCACAGTCAAGAGAGACAGGGAGGCACCGAGAGGAGGAATGGACAGAGAAAGAAGTGCAGGGCTGATGGAGTGGCTGGGCTAGTAAAGGTGCTTGTTGCAAATCTGACTACCTGAGTTTGGTCTCTCAGGTGGTTTGATTTGGACCCCATGGTGAGATCCAAATCTTGCTAGTTGCCTTCTGACCTTTACATGCTTATCCACACACATAACACATACACACAAATAAAACCCTGAAAAACATTAAAAAAGGAAAAACAGTATATTGACTTATTTCTTGTAATGGGACTTTTATATTTTGGAAGCCTTACATTTTGAAAAGTCTTAGTATATTAAACCCTTTGAAGTCTGGGTAATACTTTTCTCCCCTGTTTTTGAGAAAGCTTTATTCTGATAAATGCAAATAATTTCTCCACTATGACACTATGGCAAGGTAAGAGTTTTCATTTTCCTAAGAAATGTGAACAAACTCATTAAGTGCTGTAGGAAATACAGGTTAGAAGCACACAGCCATGCCAGCTCAGGGCCTCCTCTGGGCCAGGCTGCTCTTAGTCATCTAGCAATCTCTGCTCCATTATTGCTCTTCTCAGTCCTGTTTTTTTTTTTTTTTCTATGTGTTGTAGAGCTCCTTTCTTTCTTTCCAATTTATCAATTCTTTATTCAGTTTCTTATCCTACTTAATCTGTTCATTCAGCTTTTTGTTTTCTTCCTCTCTGTGAATTTTTATACTACCAAGGATTTAATTCAGGGCCTTGTACATGCTAGGCAAGGACTCTACTGCGGAGCTACATCCCCAGACCTTTTAATGTTTGTTTGGAGACTGGGCCTCCCTGTAGACAGAGCTGACCTGGAACTCTCTATGTAGATCAGGCTGGCCTCAATCTCACAGAGATCTGCCTCCCTCTTCCTCCCGAGTGCTAGGATCAAAGGCGTGCACCACCATACCTAGCCCGATCAGTGTTTTAGTAAGACAAATATGTTTTATTTCTTTAAACACAGAAGTCACAGTTACTTTATATTTGTTTGGAAATTTGCTGGGTTCAGTATGTATTGTGTCATTTTCTGCTGGTTCTTCGCTATCTTGTTTTGAACCTTGCATTCTGTGATAAAAACCAAAACCAAAAAAACGAGTTAAGTTGCTGGTGGGGGAGGTTTACCGATTCCAATTCTGTGACATCAATCAGACTAAAGACCAAGTCCTCTGCAGAACCTGCATGCTGCCCTACTCTACCAGCAACCTGGGACCACTGTGGAACCTGCAGGCTTAGGTCTTCGGTGCCACGGCAGCAGCAGGTGTTCACACCGCAAGCCCAGGTGGTGGTGTACAGCCACAAAATCTCTGGGAAGCTGCTCTTCCCGGGGTCACAAGGGATATGTGTCCTTGTATCTTCTTCCAGTGCTGAGGTTTAGTCATCTATGGGCCCTGCAACATGAGCTGCCTCTACCCTGGATTAGACTAAGGCTGAGGAGCAGAAGAAATCCTTGGAGGAAACGCTGCCTTTTGGGCACAGGCAAGGCATTCTCAGGGTTCCCGTTTCCAACAAGGTTTTGACTACCAGGTCCTCTTCCTTGATGCACCGTCTCCATCATGTCCTTAAAGAGCTCTGTGAGTTCCAGGCCAGCTGGGGCTACACAGTGGGTTCCAGGTCAGCTGGGGCTATAAGGAGACCCTGTCTCAAAAAGAAACCGCCCCCCCCCAAAAAAAAAGATTTAAAAGATTTTTATCTTCTTTGGGGCTAGAAAGACGGCTCAGCAGTTAAGAGCACCGGCTGCTCTGGGAGAGGACCAGGTTTGGTTCCCAGCACCTACATGGCAGCTGACAACGAGCTGTAACTCCAGCTCCAGGGATCTGATGCCCTTTTCTGACCTTCATGGGCACTGCACAACACAAGTGCACCTACCTACATGCAGGCAATATACTCATAGACAAAATAAAAAATAATTTAAAAAAATTAACTATTAGGGGGCTGGAGAGATAGCTCAGCAGTTAAGAGCACTGACTGCTCTTGCAGAGGACCCAGGTTCAATTCCCAGCACCCACACGGCGGCTATGAACTGCCCTTAACTCCAGTTCCAGGGAACTCCAACACCCACTTCTGACCTCCATGGCACTGCATGACACGGGTGCACTCACATACATGCAGGCAATACACTCATACACATAAAATAAAAAAAATATTTTTTTAAATTAACAAATAAAGCACACATGGTCCAAATCTTTAAAAAAAAGTTTTTGAGGGGCTAGAAAGGGAACTTGGAGCCTTGCATATACTAGGTAAGCATTCTACCACTGAGCTCCAACCCAATCCCTCAAATTAAATTTTCTTAAATTTATAAAATGTGTCTTAGCTGGGCATGGTGGCACATGCCTGTAGTCCAGCACTCGGGAGGCAGAGACAGGCGGATCTCTGAGTTCAAAGCCAGCCTGGTCTACATAGTGAGTTCCAGGACAGCTGGGGCCACAGGGAGACCTGTTTCAAAAAGACCGAAAAAAAAAAAAAGTGTCCTGTTCTATCTGAGGAGGGCCGACAGAGGCAGAACTTTCTGGGCAGTGCTTTCTGTGCTTTCTTCATAGCCACAGTCTATGAACAGATTCAGGCAGCTCTAGAACTGGATCTCTGAAGAGTCAGAGTCCCAAGTTGAGGTGGGAGAAACCTGGAAGGTACAGGATGTGGAAGAGGGTGCCCAGGACAGGTGGCACTATTCATGACCAGGCATGGATGGCACATAGGGTGCTCTTTACTGTTCTCTGCCCTGGACTCTTGTGCGACACCAATTTCAGGCAGTATACCGCCACTAACAGCCATGGGCAGGAACACTGGGTCTACCACCCACACTCCACTGTCCTCAACGCCTATCCTGTGCCTTGCTTCCTAGAGCTCAGGTCTTCCCAAATGGTATGTCCATGCCATGTCCCCCCGACAATAAACCATTCAAAGCTTCTATCTGGTATCAAAATCCAAAGCATAACTCTAACACTAACCCGGATCGATCATGTGGAAGGAGTCTCTGTCTGAGGGCTCAGTGTGATCAGCCCCCTAGAGGCACACACACCTCCACTACCACATGCTTCTGTTCTTTAGTTCACTCAGAAAGGAAGTGGGCGTGGTCTCTCACCAGAGTGCCAAGAAATGTACTGATGGAGCGTGCTGCCTGGCAGAGGGCGCCATACTCCTCCAGTAGTAAGGAGATGAAGTGATGTGCCTGTGGTGGACCCTGCAAGCCAGACGGCGCCTTAGCCTTCGCTGCAGCTGACAGCTGTCGGAGCAGGCGGACCTTCATCTCCAGCACATACTCCCGGGCTTGCTGCTCCAACCGCTGGTAGAGCTGGTAAGGGTCCCGCTCACAGAGTCTATAGAAAGACAAAGAACCACCACTCAGTCACGGCTTGTCCACACTGACTAGAAACCGACAGTTTTCGTGTCGGTGGGTATCTTCTCTGAAACATCCTCCTGACAGCTTGGGGCTCGCTGATGAGGAACCTGTGCACTCGGCACTCTGCAATGTGACTCAGGCAAACTGACATCTCCTGAGTGCTCTCTGGGCGCTGCTCCATGTATGAGCTCCTGTGCCTTCAGTCAGCCAGTGCAGGGAGGTCTGCTCCACACCCACTGTCCAGGCGAGAAGTCTTAAACCCAGCTACCCCAAGGAAGGTGTCATGACTCACAACCAAGAGGTGAAGAACTCCTCCTGTGCTTCAGAGCTAGCCCCAGATGGTCCCTCATCCAGGACCACTAACAGTGGGAAGGGCCTGCTGAAAGGTCCCAGCAGAAGGGATAACTGGGTGGCGGCCTGGGGCACACTGCACTTTCCTTCTTTCTAGGAACTCAGTATATGATACAAATGGCTTTGTGTTATTTGCATAGTTAAAATAGTCCTATTTTTAAATTATCTCAACAACGGAACAAAATTTATAAAATACAGTTAATAAACTGAAGAGCAGTTGGAAAAGCATTCCCACAATTAGCCACTATGGTAATGAATTTCTGTCCAAACTTGGAGGTGATCCTTCTTAACTTAATTTCTAGTTTTTGAGAACCTGCAGCTTTTAGCCAGAAGGCTCAGGTTGGGTCAGCGGTCTGCTGAAGACCCAAACTACACACCAAGAGCAGAGCAGAGCCAGCTGAGCTCTCGTCAGGACCTGAAGGAAATCCCATACAAGCACTGAGGCGCCACAGGCAGCAGGAAAGGCAGGGGTCAGAAGGAGCCACAACACGAAGGGACAACTCGTACCTATCCACGAGCTCTTTCACTCCCTCCTTGTCGGGAACCAGAGACTGGTCCTGATCTTCTGCCAGTGGCGTCCCTGCCTGTCGGTATATGCAGCGGACCATGTAGCGTACTTCTGACCAATAGTTCTGCAGCTGCTGTGGTTCCCGGTCTGTCTCTGCTGAGATGTCTCTGTGACAACACAGGAACCAGCAGAGTTAAGGGAGGCAGTCAACCTTACCTCCCACAAGGTTACCCACCTGACACTCTGGCCCCATAGAGCACAGAGCCCTTGCCTTTTCACCCTTTGGAGTTCACTTGAGTCTACCAGGTAAAGCCTCAGGACAAGTGCACAGCTCTTTTGTCAATTCCTGGCTGCTCCTTCCCTCAGCTCCTAGTAGCTCCATCACTAGCACCCAATACCCATGTACTGATTCTCATGATGATCATGAAAGGTTAGTCTATTTATTAATTCTTCTCGCCTTCCTTTCCTCCCTTCTTCTCTTCCTTCCTTTTTCTGAAAGAGACTTTTTATGCAGGCCTGGCTGCACTGCCACTCATAGGAACTCACCCCCTTGTCTCTCTCTGTCTCCCAAATGGGATTACAGGCATGCGCCATGAAAACTTGGCCCCACCTTAGATTCTAATAGTTCCCCCTCTTTGGCCTTCACGAAGCCTCGTTTCCTCCTCTTTAGTCCCTCAGGAACTTGTCTTTTTGTGTTGCTCTCCTCCTAATAGCTAGGCCATGTCCTAGTCTCAGGGGTGTCTCAAATGTGCACTGCTGTTTGTCTAGAAAGCCAATGCCCAGTCTAGGCCAGCAAGCTCCTTGGGCATCCCCTTAGCCAAGTGTGGGCAGCCTGGCCACTCACCACATACCTGCGCTCACTGCAGGCTTCACAGGAGCAGGTGGTATCTGAGGGCGTGGTACCCAGCCCTGTCGAGGTCATTGTCTGTGTTCCCAGGGCCAGCCTCCCGGCACCACTGGCATCTGGCTGAGAGCCGCCCAATGGTGAGTGAAGAAGAAAATCTTGGCCCTGTTTCAAAAGCAGAATATAAGGGATAAGTTATATTTATGACAGGAATTGTTCACTGACTGTTCAAGAAATGCCCACGAGAGATGCTACGGCTTAGACACGGAAATAATCAACATTACATAGAAAACTTTGGGGAGGAAGGGCTTTCAGGGGTCAGGGTCTCACTATGCAGTAGCATAGGCTGACCTTGATCTCAGCCTCTAGCACACTGGAATCACAGCAGGGCACTGCCACATGCAGCTATGTAAGACACTCAAGGCTTTATTTGGGTCGATGATGTTCTTACCTTTGATAATATGTATCCCCATCACCTAAGGTTTTTTTTTTTTTTTTTGTTCTTTTTGAGACAGGGTCTCCCTGTAGCCCCAGCTGTTCTGGAACTCACTGTGTAGACCAGGCTGGCCTTGAACTCACAGAGATCCACCTGCCTCTGCCTCCTGAGTGCTGGGATTAAAGGCGTGCACTAGCACGCCCGGCTTCACCTGAGATTTTTTAATGTATTTTTTATTTTATATGGATGAGTGTACTGCCTACGTGCATGTAAGTACACCTGTGTATGCAATGTCTGCAGAGTCCAGAAGAGGGCATCAGATCTCCTGGAACTGGAGTCACGGACAGGTGTTAGCTGCCATGTGGGTGCTGGGAATGGAACCTGGGTCCTCTGCAAGAGCAGCCAGTACTTTTAACCACTAAGATCAGGTATCTCTAAGAAGTGATGGACAGCCTGACAGTGGCAGAGGGCCCAGCACCTGTGCTGCCTGCTCTGACCACAGACAGGGATACTTAAGAACACTCTGGGCAGAGGACTGTATGACATGGTCAAATGGTGATTCTCCTCACCTACAGGTGGAAAGGAACTTATCAGCACCATTGCAGGAAACAGAAACACAACTCAGGGTGCTCGCCACCTCCCAGCTGGCCCTGGTCACTTGTGTGACAGGTGGAGAAGGATGTTGCCAGGTGGGCTAGAGCACTAGAGTATGCTCCTCAGGGCCCACCAGAGGGCAGCATGCTCTGACAGCATCCCAACAGCCTAAGGGAGAGACGCACTAAGGCACGGGACAGATTTGAAGGGAAACGGCCAGAACTGGGCGATGCACACTGTACTCCCTCCAGTTTCCCAAAGGAATAGTGCTCCCTCACCCTGATCGGGTGTGAAGCTACTGAGACAGCCAGACAGTAGAGGGGGCCATGCTCATCTGCCAGCAGGGGTGGTTTGTACATACACTGCTTACATCACCCCAGGCTTCTGTTATACAAGAGCAGGCTAACATGCTCCAAAGGTCTGGCATACTGACACCAATATCAGACTGTGAAGTAGAAGTACCTGAGAGCTCCCTGCCCACAGTGGAGAACTGCACTGTCACCATCACATGGGAAGAGGAGCTGTGTCAGTAAAAACCTACCCAAAAGGGTGCTGCACAACTGAGAAGATGCCAGGTAGGCTCCCTTCAATGCCCTGCCTCCAGACCAGGGGAAATAAGTACGTGGTGTTAGCCAGTCACCGGGCCTACAATACTCCTGTAACTGCAGCCCAGCCACACCGAGACAGCGCTCACCAGCAAGAGCAGCATATGTCAAGACCCATGCCCTAAGCCAAAGAGAACCACACACAGCCTGATAAAAGAACCAAGGACCTCCTTACACCTCCCCAGAGCCCTTTCTTCAACCAGGAGGTACAGAGATGGCATAAGGATATGGGGCATGCCCTCCACCATGGCAGTTCCTGTTATGTCCTACAGCTCTGGGGAAAGCTCTGAATTAGGTGAGAAACAGATTTCTATGTAGACTGGATTTGAAACCTGAAAATGAGCTAAAAAATGAGCAAATTCCAACACCAAAAGTAACTTGAAAAGCCTAAGGTCCGATTGTCGTCATCATGGCACAAGGAGGGTGGTCAGACGGACCTTAACACAGGTGATGGAAGCACAAGGCTGGTCCCCAGAAGCAGCAAGTTGAGCCCCTCAATGCACAAGCCTCATGCCCATTTCCACTCTCACCTCAATTAACACACCCACAAGCCACCACTTGGTGCCTCTTGCGGCTCACAGTCTCTCTACAGGCCCATTTGTCCTCACCCATTTCAAGAGCAGTCAGGGTGAACTCACAAGGCTGACCTGTATAAAACTTTCTGTTTGCCTCCAAATGACTCCTTGCTTAATACAAAGCGGTTGTCAGGAACAGATTCTGCTTTTGTGTCACTATACCTGTCCCCTCTACTCTGCCTGACTTGTGATAGTCTGATGGAGTTTATTAGCTCTGGCCTAAGGCAAAAAAACTCCCTCCCCAGAGGACAACCAAGTCAGTCTGAGTGGGGTTTTTGTTGCTGCTGTTTGGCTTTTTGCTGTTTTCTTTGCCTCTGGGTTCAAAATCCAACTCTGCCAAGCTGAAGGGCCCTCCATGCTCCTGGTGCAGCTCTCCCTGACTCCGACCACCAGGCAGCTTTGTCCTTGGAGAAAAAGGGACTGGGTGACGTCCGGGGTGGGGGGGCGGGGGGCGTTGCTGACATCCCCTGGGCCTGTAGCACCTGCTCTCCAGTGGGTAACAATTATATCTTCAAGGAAGAGCCTCTACCAGCTGCTTGAGATAACTATACAGACTGCAGCCACCTGTCCATCTGTAGTTTGTACAAGACGTTTTGTTATCATAAGCCTCCAATGAACCCTAGACAACCAGCAATCATTTCTACCTTGGTCAAAAGGGGAAGCACTTCCCTGATGGTCTACAGAGGGACTGCTGTGATCAGCACTATGAGAGGCAAGGATGTGATTGGCAGGCAACACACACACACACACAGGCCCCAATAACTGACTGGTACTAAGAGGCAAGATTGCGATTACCCTAAACAAATAGCTGTGACTAGTCCAAACATCCCTCATGGGCTACATGATCGAGCTGCCCTGGCTCATGCAGTGAGTTGGCTGGGAGACAATGACTGACCTGCTGCCTCTTCGTGGGGAAAGCAGCAACAGAGAAAGAAGAGTGTTGCGGCAGGGAGGCAGGGAAAGCTGGGGTAGAGCAGTCCTGCTGGAGCAGCAGTTGAGCTGTGGCACTGGCTAGGCAACTAGCTATCTGACAGCTAAAGAAAAAACAGCTGAACAGCTTAAAGATGCCAGGGCAGGAAGGACAGAAGACAGAGAGGGAGACAGAGAACACTGTGGAGAGCTGAACCTAAAGAAGAATCAAAAGCTGTAAGAAGCCAGCAGATAAACCGTAGGCCTTGGCTGCCAGAGAGGTCTTAGGTCTTTGGGGCCAAGGCCGTAGAGCCTATGCCAAGAGCTGAAGCCCTGGCCAGCCAGGCCTAGGGACTAAGGATGTGTGAGGGAGGCCTGGCCAACTGCAGTGACACTGGAAGGAAGGTGCAACCTGCTGTGGCTCCCACCTGCCTATGGTTGCCCTAGCTGATGTCAACCACTAGAGGAAATGGAAGCCGTCAGAGACAAGCTCTAAAGCCTTTCTTCCTGCCTACCCAGGACTTCTACCCAGGGAGCACAAAAGCACCTGCAGTCAGCTCAACACCAACACAAGGGTTACAACAGGAACCACGCCCCAGGTCATGCATGACAACTGGCAAAGAGTCTGGCTATGTTCTGCGTCTTGTCCTCACATTTTGTAGCCCCAGCTGTCCTAGAACTCACTATGTAGACCAGGCTGGCCAGGAACTCAGAGATCCGCCTGCCTCTGCCTCCCGAGTGCTGGGATTAAAGGCGTGCGCCACCACGCCCGGCTAGGTCAAAAATGTTTTAAAAAAATAAAAGAAAAAAGAAGAAAGAGGGGCTGGAGAATTGGCTCAGCAGTTAAGAGCACCGGCTGCTCTTGCAGAGGACCCAGGTTTGATTCCCAGCACCTACATGGTGGCTAACAGCCATCCGTAACTCCAGTTCTGGGGGATCCAATGCCCTCTTCTGACCTCCATAGGCATTGCACGACACGGGTGCACTTACACACATGCAGGCCATACACTCATACACATAAAATGAAAATAATAAAAATAAAATGTTCTTTAAAAAAAAAGAAAGAACAAGGACAGTTTGGTGAAGAAAGCAGCAACAGCAAATTTAAAGTTGCTGAAAAGGCAGCTACGGAGAAGGTGGCAAAACTGCAGCAGTTAAAGACTGACAACAGTAAAGAGAAACCAACTGCACTGGTCTAGGGAAGGGTGCCTAGAGGGCAAACCCACCCACTGAAGGCTCCAGGGCGAGGCTTCAGTGGTAAAACTGAAGGCATATGCCAAAGACTGGCGGCCTGAGCTCTCTGCTTGCTGATGGCTGTCATGGTACAAGATGCTCCAGTCAGGAGGCTTCTCTGTCCAATGAACTGCATGAACCCTTTAAAACAGTGAGGCAAAATGAACCCTTGCTCACTCAGGTTGTCTCTTGGGCACTGGCACCAAGAAAGTGGGGTCACTGCTGTGAAGAACCTGACCATGTGGCTCAAAGGCCTCTAGAGGTTTGTGGAAGAATGTAGAAGAGTTTGGCACTGTGAGCTAGAGAAGCTCTAGAATGTTAACAGTGATTAGTTGGTTTATTCTGTTTATCTGAGGCACAGCTTTATGTAGTCCAAGCTGACCCTGAACTTGGACCCTCTTTCTTCCACCCCCAAGTACTGAGAGGCATGCACTATCATGCCTAGCTGTAAGCAGATCCTAGTGGGCCATTTTGCCGAGTGTGTGGAAGACCAGAATGTCAACAGAAACTCAGAAAAGAACTAGGACTAGCCAGGATTAGGCTAGAGGCCATGTGGGTTACAATGTGGGAAATTATGTGGCTTTGTTCTGTTGTGTCCTGAAAATCTGAGTGGGGCTGAATCTAAAAGTAATGTGCTAACTTTGGTAGAGAACGAAACCACAACAATATAGCGTTAGGCCCAACATATAACATTTGGAGTGAAAGAATTTAAAATTGTGGTCAAGGGGCTGGAGAGACGGCTCAGCGGTTAAGAACACTTGCAGAAGACCTGAGTTTGAATCCTAGCACCCACATGGCAGCTAACAACCATCA